GAATCATATACGAAGAAGCTGATGACGGAGTTTTAAACCTAGATTTGGTCGGTGCACTGCCATGAAAGCAACGCTTCGGTTGAAACCTGTGGCTATGCCTGCTTTCCGTCCAATGAGACCCGTACCTTATGCAACATTAGCAACAGTAGATAAAGAGTTGGATCACCCTCAACAACAAGGAGTTATTACTCCCGTTTCTTACTCTGCTTGGGCAGCACCTATAGTCGTTATCAAGAAGGTCAACGGCACGATACGTATATGTACTGACTTCTCTACAGGTCTCAATGCAGCTCTGGAACAGCATTATCCTCTGCCCGTCCCCGCAGATATGTTTATTATGCTGAATGGGGGAAAGTTTTTCTCAAAGCTCGATCTAGCTGATGCTTATTTACAAGTGGAAGTCAATGAGGCATCTAAAGAGCTACTTACTATCAATACTCATCGTGGTTTGTTCCAGTACAACCGTTTACCTTTTGGAGTTAAGACTGCCCTATGTATCTTCCGGCAACTAATGGGCACTATCCTGTCATATATCTCAGGGGTCGCAGGTAACGTCGATGATGTCTTGATTGTTGCGAAGACGTTAGAACAGCTACGGGAACTCACGATATTGTTAATACAACGCATCAGTGACAACGGTTTCCGGCTACGCCCAGGGAAATGCCAGTTTCTATTGCAGTCGGCAAAGTATCGGATTCATCTTTGGTGCCAACGGCCGCAGACCGGATCCTGAGAACATCCGAGCTATCAAACTGATGCCCACCCCCAACTAATGTCTCAAAATTACGATCTTTTCCCGGATCAGTCAGTTATTATTCAGCATTTGTTCCCTCGATGGATGATATTCACGCTCCATTTAATTGTCTACTGCATAAGCATAGCACATGGAACTGGACTAAAGAGTGTGACGCGGCTTTTGGTAAACTCAAGTCTATAATTAGCTCGGAATTGTTATTAACACACTACGACTCATCCATGCCGATCATCGTAGCAGCAGACGCTTCAGCATATGGCCTAGGTGCTGTTATTTCTCATCAGTTTCCAGACGCGTTAGAAATAGCCGTTATGCATGCATCCCGTACACTAACCCCAGCAGAAAAGAAGTATAGCCAGGTAGAGAAAGAAGCTCTTGCTCTTGTGTTTGCTGTTCGTCGTTTCCACAAGTTTCTGTACGGTCGGAGATTCACGCTCTTCACAGATCAAAAGCCTGTGCTAGCAATATTCGGTTCAAAGACTGGCGTTCCAGTCCACTCTGCAAATACTCTTCAGCGATGGGCCTTGGTGCTTTTGCGGTATGATTTTGAAATCCAGTATCATCGCACTCTACAATCCGGTGAGGCAGAGGTTTGTCATGACTCATTAATGATCAAGTGGCGGCTGCGGAAAACATGGTAATCGCATCTGTCATTGGAAGACCACGCAGAATGTTATCCGACAACTGCAATACGGACATTCCGGGTGTCTGCAACAGCATGAAGCAGCTGTATCAGCGGCGGGATTCATTATGCATCGTAAACGACTGTTTGATGTTTGGTGAAAGAGTGGTGGTGCCAGAATCCCTTCGTGGAAAGTGCTGAGACAGTTCCATCTTGGTCATCCAGGGCTTAAACGAATGAAATCAATAGCCAGGAGTTATGCATACTGACCACTAATGGATCAACATATCACAGAGTTGGTTGAAAAATGTATGCGGTGTCAGCATGCGGCAAAGATGAATGCCAAAGTTCCGCCGCTTTCATGGCTCAGACCTGAGCATCCTTGGTCCAGGATACACATCGAATTCGGTGGTCCAATTAATAGAACTATTTATTTAGTTGTGGTCGACGCCTTCTCAAAATGGCCAGAAATCAGCCCATAATTCCGCCCATGACAACAAAATAAAACCGCTCCTTACTGAAATTTTCTCTCGAAATGGCATACCAGATGTGGTTGTATCTGACAATTGGACTTAATTCACATCTACCCAATTCCAGACCTTCTGTCAATGGCTAGCCATTAAACACTTACGCTCGCCACCATACCACCCGCAATCGGATGGGCAAGCAGAAAGGTTTGTGGATACATTTAAAAGAGTATTGGTTAAGTCAAAAGGAGAGGGGACACCAGCTGACGCGTTACAAAATTTCTTGTACGCCTGTCGAGCAACACCAAATAGGTTGGAGCAAAATTACCCAGCAGATATCCTGATGGGAAGAATACTGAAAACGATCCTCAGCCTAATGCGTTCGACTAGTGCACCAACATCAGTAGAGACAAAGCAGCAAGGGAAATCCTACTACGGAGTGGGATTCCCTGTGTTCGCATGTGACTACAGAACAAACCATGGTCAGAAGAGTTGGGCCAATTATGTACGAAGTAGATGTTGGAGGCGATAAATGGTCACGCCATCGAAATCAAACACGCAAAGGGCTGGCCCCAGATCGTCCATCAAGAGCAGCAAATCTTCCCCTTGACATCCTGCTTAATATCTTCAACCTACCGGCAGCCCCACCACGAGGTGAAACTCAGCAGCAAGCTGTTCTTCGTTCCAGAAGGTGTCCTCTCAGACAGCGGCAAACGACAGTCCAGATGCAAGTCTACCCCAAGAGCGCACGCTATTAAAAAGCGGAGGAATGTTGGCTATGTTAGATCCCCAAGACTGTCTTTGTAAATGCCTTAATTGGGGTTTTACTTTTCCGAGCAAGGGCCGATCACTTGACCTTGAGATTTAATTTCCCACCAAGAAGACCCTTGGCTGTGATTGGCTACTGTGTTTTAGTGTGCTATTTTTACGACTCTCACAAGGACATTTCTATGATATATAAATAAACGAGATTTGTTTGATTACATTGTGCTTGCTGGGTGTTTGTCGAATATACATCCTGCGCTATATCAAGACTTTTGTTAGTTCTTTTTGGTCAACGGATAAGAGTGACCTACCCGGACGCTGGTACATAGTCTTGTTCTCGTTTATCGACTAAGGTCAAACCGTAATAGTTTCAAGCATACATAGTGACGAGCGCAACAGTGATATACTCTTTTATCATTAGCTTTAACCACATGAGGCTTCAACTTACGGCAGGATCGAGGTTGAGGTGTTCCGAATAAAGGAAACAGAAAACACAAGTTAGGAGCATCAGACAAAGCAAGCAATAGATGAATCTTAATTATGAAATAAAGCAGGTTTAGCATATGTGTGAAGTCGCGAACAAACTCAGCAAAGCGGTAACTTGGGAACGAGCTTCGAGCAACGGGAGCCGATACCCAACTGGTGTTTAATCACTCAGAAAGCACTTAGAGGGTATAACATAGTGTAAACAGACTCTATGAATTGGATGAATCTGTTGGTTTTCTACAACTTGTTTGTAAACTGAAGAAACAACTTATTAGTCGATCCTTTCGTATGTAGGTTGTGCAACTTCCCGAGACTTTATGAAACCCGAGCTTAGTTACCGTTAGGATTGAAAATATGACACACTGATGATCATGAGCAACCTACCAGCTGCTAATCAAGGAACATTGCCTAGTTATAAGACAATCAACACCTGAAAGCAATAAAATATCAACGGAATATTAGCACTAAACTGATTAATTAAACCTATGGCCAAGATTTCTATGTAGTGAGTTAACTTTCAAAATTTTAAAAAGGGTTGTAAGTAAAAACCGATGCGACAATCGACCCAACTTCCTAAATTGATCTCTGCCTGATGGTAACCAAGTAGTTAACGAAAAATCAAAACGGTATTCATATGCAGTTCATTAATAAAAAGAACATTAATCAACAATTATCAAATGTATATCTAGAACTATTGTTCAATGGGGTTCACGAGACGATCATAACCAATGCTTAGACACTTTGTATGACATGACAATGGAGTGAAGATGACTCCAATCGTTGTATTCACTTAAACTCTAATCTTTTGGATTCGTCAACACCTCTACCTTTGTCTTTCTAAACTTATCTGATACTTCTTCAATAATACATTCAAACTCTAATCATCTCCATTACCGCTAATACTTCAACTATTCTCCACTACTATGAAACTGAAACTAACAATTGCATCTCTCTGTGTGCTCATGTGGTATAGCAAATCGAACAATGATATCAGTCAGTCAGTTGCAACGTAGAACTACGTACGTATGTACATAAGTTCATGTTGCCATACCACATTAGCACAGATGTCAAGTCAAATCCCATAGTGGTAAAGATAGTAGAGGTATTAATGGTAATGAAGAAGACTAGGGTTTGAAGATATTATTCAAGAAGTATGATTCAGTGAGATAAGGTTAGAAAGACAAAGGTAGAGGTGTTGACGAATCCAGAAGATTAGGATTTGAGAGAGCACAATGAATGGATGCACTTGCGTTATTGCAAACGATTTCGAGCCATGTTGTTCAAGGTCTCTAGCGATTGATGACTTTCGTCTCGCGGACTCCAACCAGGTAGCCTACATCTACCAACATGACTCAGTCCACTTGTCCGTGGTTGCATGGATTTGTGCCATGTTTTAATCTGGCCTCACCTAGCTTTCTTCCAACCTACTCCTACACCAAAAAACATAGCTTGATAAGGCAGTCGGTGGTTAGCGATACGTAACACATGTCCCAATCACCTCAAATGATGAAGTTTCAATGCTTCATCTATTGATTTGTCATCCTTACCTAGAACTCGTTTCCTAACGACAGCATTGCTTACTCGGTTGTCCCACGGTATACGAGCGATGCTTCAAAGACACCTATGATCGAAAACCGACGAATATCTTCTACTCTCATTGGCCATGTTTCGCATCCGTATGGGAGAACGGAGCGAACTGCCGCGCAGTACACTCGTCTTTTGGTTAGCAAGCGGATATCTCGCCTGCGCCATAGGTGACGCAAGTTGGCAAAAGCCAATCGAGCCCTGACGGACACCACTTGATGTAGAGAATTCAGATGACAGTTCGCCATATGAACACCGATATATGCACGTACGTATGTACGAAGTTCTACATTGTAACTGACTGACTGACTGAATGCTGTTCACCGAAAAAAATGGTTGTATATTACAAATTTAAAATTAAAAAAAAAGAATTCATTGAGTATTTTTACTAAATTTTTATAAGATGTATACGTACGTATTATAGAATATACTTGGTCAATTGATCTTTAATTTTTTTTTCTTAAAAAAAAAAGGAATAATGTAACACACCACAAAACAAAAAAAACAAAACACACAGAGAGAGAGAGTGTGTAGGAGAAGAAGAGTAAGGCGAAGAAGTACAGTATAGACACAAAAAAAACTATTAGAAACACACAAAAGAATCATCATTCTTAAAACACAATGTGGGAAAAAGTTTAAATGTGTGTGTAGATGTGTTCCAGTGTGTATGTATGTGTGTGTGTGTGTTTGTGAGTGTGAATGTGTAGGTAGGAGTAATGAACAAGAGAGAGTAAAAGAGAAATAGACAAATATGCATTTATTATTTTTATATAGATTAAGTATTTATTTATGAAAAAATATGAATTAAACTGACCCTATATATTTATATTTATATATGAGAAATAGAAATGAATTCTGAGTAATAATTCTTGATGTATATGTCAAGTTGGATAGTTGGTTCATTTAGTTAGTTTCCTTGTATTGTCTGATTTGTTTTTACCTGTTGTTGTTATAGTTCCAATCATTCAATAGTATAATAAAAAGAAATTAGTGTAGAAACAGCTTTACAACATGAGAGTAAGAGAGTGAAGAGAGAGATTGGTGTACACACACACACAACTGGGTGTCTTGTGTTTCAAGGTACGCGCGCACACACTCACACATCCGAGTTGACAAAACTAGATTTTTCGGTTATTGTTGTTGGTAGAAATGTGAAAAATCAAATTGTGCCCTGTGTGTAGTAAATAATTAATTGAAGTGTATTTTATTTTTTTGGTGGAGAGAAAAACAAACAAACTATGAGCATACCGCCTCATATTACAGTGTATGTATGTATGTACGAGTGTGTGTGTGTGTGTTTGAGTGTGAGTGAGTGAGTCAGTGTGTATATAAAACCAACTGATTATTGAAAATGATGAGAAATGAGAATTGTTCATGAAGAAATCTAAGCACAGTAAGTACAGAAGCCAAGATGGATGAATGGATGTATGGACGGATGATTGGTGAATGAATGGAGAGTTCATGTAGTATTTATTATTCTGCAATATGTATTAGGCATTCATTCATATGTGTTATAATAAATCCAACATCACAGCAAAAAAAGTCAGGCAGCTGCTGCCGGTAATTATTTGTTTTGAGGAGAAACGAGACAGAGATAGAGAGACGGAGAGGGAGAGATAGACGAAGGAATTTTTTTCGAAAAAGAACACACAAAGAGGTGAAGATAGAAATGTGAAACACAGAAAATACATTAGAATGCGATGATTAAGCCATTCCATAGCCTTCACTGCATTCACGTATAGCCATTAAAAGTCTTGATCTTAATTGTTCATAGCTTTCATAGGCTGGTAATACAAGTGTATTGAAACTGTAAGAAAAAAAACAGAAAGACAATTAAGGAAAATACACATATTAGATTAGTGTGAAATTGTAGGTAGGTATGAATTCACAATTGAAATCTTTCAAATATTCCATTCAGTGAGTTATAATTACACTATACATTGATATGACTGGTGTGAGATACAGCGGATAATTCTATTGATAACAAACTAGCTAACTGGTAGGATTGTAATATAGTGAGTGAGGATATTCATCCAATATCCTAAGAGAATTATCGGTCAATTCGTATTGGTTCATTCTTACTGGTCAATTTTATGGTCGTCCTAAATATCAATGTCACATGCTTCAATGTTGTTTCTTATTGGTTGTCCTGACTATCAATGTCACTTCAAATGTTACTTCCTACTGATCGTCTTCACTGTCAATGTCACAGACTTCGATGCTGTTTCGCATTCGAACAAAATGTATAAATACGCATTATCTGTAACGGTTTATGACCAGGACCCGGTCCCGGATCCTGATTCTCTTCTGGGCTCGGACCTCGTACTTTCTAGATGCTTGAAGAATACAGGTTCTACTTCATATCAAGTCTTGTCTTCTTTTACTTAATATGGGGGCTGGGATAATCGGATTTCAGTAGCATGTCGTGTCGTGTATTGAATGATAAAACTATTTGGAAAGAATGTTCATCAAAACAGTTATTCACCTATTTAAAACCATACAGATGTACAACTTTTATTTGGCCATGTGATTAAATTTGAACTATAATGATTTGTATGAATTCAATTTGAAGACAGCTAACTCATTTGTATCTTTACCACATTGTTGTCAGTTCCAAGTTTGTACAGCCAGGTGGTATTACGATGCATTCACACACGTGTATTTGATTACTGAGTTACATAAACGTACGCCTATTGATAACACGTCCACTAAATTGGATAGTTAAGTCGATTTTACAATTTTAAAACTAGTCTGATAGTACTAACACTAGTAAATAGTATGTGAATCCATAAAATAAGTCAGAATAAGCCAATCTTAACAATTTCAATGTTTTGTGGTGTAGGAATAGGTTGGAAGTAATCTAGGGGCGACCAAACCAAAACATCACTCAAATCCATGAAGTCACTGACCAGTAGAGTGAATCATGTTGGTAAATGTAGATTACCTGGTCGGTGTCCGCGAGACGATAGTAACCATTGGTTAGAGACCTTGAATATCATGGCTCAAAACAGTTTGCAATGGCTGAGGTGCATCCACTCGTTGAGTTTTCTGGAACTCTAACCTTCTGAATTCCTCATCATCTCGATCATTCTGTTTTTAAAGTCATCTCACGGAATTGTTCTTCGACCCCTAATCTTTCGCATTACTATAATAGTTCTACTATCTCTACCACTATGAGACTTGAACTGAGCAATTGTATCTATGTGTGCTAATGTGGTATGGCAACTTAAACACTGATGTACGGTACGTGTACGAAGTTCTACATTATAACTGACTAACTGAACAATTCGGATGTAACGATTATTAACTAGAGTTCAATGATTACTCAACAGAAAATATCTCTGTCTGAAGAAAAAACGAACTATAACAGACACACCAATAAAAAAAGACAAAAACCCACTTACCATGTATGTGCAGATGGTAAATGATTAGTACTTGAAACAGATGCACGACTAATTTGAAATTTAGTTGGACCATGCATACCTTCTAAATTCACAAAACCACCTAATGGAACTTTACTAGTTCCTGTAACAAATTGTAAGAAACGTGCTAAATCCTCTTGATCAAATGACTCCAATGCTTGCCAAAACCATTCAATTTGTGGTGAATTCGGTTGATATTTTGAATAAGTTGTATTCGCCTTTAAATCAACTATATCAATATTTGGTAGACCACTAATCAACAATTCTAATTCTTGTTCATTAAATATACTAATCATACGTTTTGGAATAATATCATAGAAACCATGTAAGAATGCATCAAGTTGTTGACGAATAGCACCAGTCATACGTTCTTGACATACTAAACGTACATATTCTTTTTTATTGGCTTCGGTGACTGGGACATTTTGACCATTTTCAATGAGATCACGTGTATCAGTTTTGCCAAATTCATTGATCTATAACACATGTAATATACACATAAGTCGGAGGAGGGGGATAAGATTGAAAAATAAAATACAAATTATTATGTGGATCAAAAGAAAACGTCTACACAGAATATAAAAACAATAGTATGTATAAGAGTTCTAATGAATTTATTGTGCAACAGTAAGTGTTATTTGATTATAACAACGATAGTAATTTGCATTACGGGGTTGTGAAGATTGTTAAGTTACACATTTTTTGAAACTATGAATCGATCAATGTTAGACCAGTGGTATAACGGTTAGGGCGCTCGCTCACAATACCGAAGGTCCTGGGTTCAAATCCTGCGGGGTTCAGGAGTCGTGGATGTGCACTGCCACTGAGGAGTCCCATACCAGGACGAAACGGCCGTCTTGCAGTGCTTCCAGGTTTCTAATGCTGGTCTAACATTGATCGATTCATGGTTTCAAAAAATGTGTAACGATAGTAATCCAAATTTAATTGTCTTTCATAACATGCTTAGTTATAAAGTATCATTTTCTATCTTTTTATCAACACTATGACAGTTTACTATAGAACGGTTACTTTATCTCACTATAATGACACACAATAAAATATCTGGGCATTTAGAACCATCAAAGTTTCATTAATCATGATGCGCTAGCATCTCATTGAAACTTCTGCACAGAGTCAGAAAGCTCGGTTAGATTCTGTCTATCAACCAAGGGATAAGTGTGTCATTTAATTCTATAGTCGTTAAAAAAAACCCTAGAAAAATAAACTTTTTTCATAGATAACTAAATACCTATGAAGTACTGTCGGTATATGTTGGGGCCACCGAGTGAGCAATATTGAGATTAGATGCATGGTACTAGATAACTATTAGGAAATGGTGAACAACCTTGTTAGTTTCTGTTAGGATATTCACCAAATATCTTAAGAGTACTATTTTTGGAAGTATAAATCCTATTGGTCGATTTCTACTGGTCAAAATTATGGTCGTTTTAACTGTCAAAGTCAAATACTTCAATGTTGTCTCTTATTGGTCATCCGGACTGTCAATGTCATTTTAAATGTTCTTTCCTATTGATCGTCCTAAACTGTCAATGTCACAGACTTTGATGCTGTTTTCTATTCGACCTAAATGTAGAAATACGCACTATCTGCAGGACTTCATGATGATTCCGATTCCGTTTCTTCCTGCCTACCTCTCTTTTGTACTCGACCCAATAACAACTCCATCACACGGTGTTGCGTTCTGATATATAGGAGATTTGGAAATAGTATTTTGAGTCGTATTGGGATATTCGAATTTGGACGCCACTAGGACTGAATAGCTATACGTAGCAGCATTATAACAGTTTCCAGAGATTGTCAGGTGGTTGGGGCATAATATTACGTATTATACCTAACCATCTGATAACTCGATAACCGATGATCGATGGTGTAAGAGTAGTTTAGAAGAAAGTTACAACCAGCTAAACCAAAACATAACATCAGGCCACATAAATAGGTCTATACACCCATGGTTTGGGCCTACTCAATCATAGTATCATATGTTAAGAGACTTTGAATAACATGCTTCATAGTCGTTCCCAATCGAGAAGACACACGTACTCTTTGTCTTCATTTATATAATCTACATCATCATCATCTAAAATCCTATCTCTGATGTCTAATATCTTTTCTATAACCACTACAATTGATACTACTCTGGAATCACACTAAGTCGTAGGAACTTGAACAGATGTATACATGAGCCATATGACATGACTATAATCATTTAAACTAGTATTTGATAAGTCATATCATCATCAACAAAAATTATAGTTGATTTGTATCTCAGTATTAACTGCTCATTGCGATTCACACTACAGTTCGACAGTAACATATCATTACATTTCAACATAAAGTATAAAACAATAGTAGTAGTAGTAGCAGTAGTAGTAGTATACAGCATTAAAAAAACTACATATATACACATACCTCAGTGCTAAAAGTTAATTCATAACCCAAATCAGATACATTATGACTTAAAAGAAATTCTAATCCTTTGAAAAATTCATAATCTTCACTTTCTAAATCAGAGCATCTGTTTAATGAAAAAGAGCAGAAGAGCAGAAGAATGAATATCAATGAATGATATAGTTAGTAATGATTAAATTCAGCGGTAAAAAAAATTTATCAAATTCATTAATCGATGGATTATTTGTTTAGCGAGTTGTGAAGTCACCTGATTGGTAGAACACGGGCAACATTTCTGTAATTGAAGAACATAGGGAACTCAAAACAACCATTGACAAACACCAAAGTCATGAATTTCAATATAAAAATAGTTCTATTGTATGCGGCGGAAACTTGGATAACTATGAAAGCTACTAGTGTTTATCAACAGTTGTCCATGCAAAATACTGATGACGCGTTGGCCAGACACTATCAGCAACAACCTACTGTGGAAGAAAAACAAACCAGATTCCTGCGGAGGAAGAAATTAGGAAGAAGCGCTAGAAGTAGATAGGACACACTTTGAGGAAGGCACCCAACTGTGTCACAAGACAAGCCCACACTTGGAATCTTCAATACCAAAGCAATAGAGGAAGGCCAATGAACACATTACGTTGACAATTAGAAGCAGACATGAAAAGAATGAACAACAATTGGATAGAACTGGACAGAGTAGGTCGAAGAAGGCTCGTCGATGGACTATGCTACATTAAGTAAGTAAGTAAGTAGGAAATTAATGAATAGAGAATAAGCTTTCCGATTTTTGTGCACTCGATAAGTTACCTGCTTGTATAGAACAATAAATATTGAGAGTAATTTGCTGTTTTTAAACAAGAACACATTTAGTGAATCACAATAATCATGAGAATACTGACAACGCTAATTAGATACAGGGAAACGTCGAACTATTCGTAGAATTCACACTAATACAACAACAAAATGATGAATACATGAGGAATAATTGGGAAATACTACAGAATACACACCTCGTGTTAAGTGTGGAGGATGTAGGATAATACCGAAGGTAACAAACAGATCAATAGACTTAATGTAGTTATCTTGGTTGAAAAATCCAGACAATCGAAAAACAGGGTAGTCAACCTGAACCCAATATCTTATGTAAATAACCAGCAATTGACTTCAATCAAATAACTAACTGAAACATTGACTTCAAAGTTCTTCATATCAACCAAGACTTCTTTGTTTTCAGTAATTGAAAAACAACAGAACATTTAAAGAGAGAAGAGACCTGAATTTAATATACAAACGAAATATACTCCACCTTTGCTGATAGAAATGTCAAGTTTTGATAATTTATTTATTTAGTTCAAAAGGAATCACCTTGACGAATTTCTTTTGCAATATTCGATAATATTCTAAGAATTGATTATGTCGAATGATTGGTGTAGATCAATTAATCAACACACACAGACACACACACACATACAAGTTTTTCTTAGCTTCCCCATACGCATTAAACTACTTTTTTGTTTACAAATTTCTTTCATTATTCATAGTAATAGAGTCTCATGATTGATTGATTGCTTATGACTAATTGACTGTGTTCAGCCTGTACAGTGCAACCGATTAAATATAATTAAAACCTCAAGAGAATTGTACAATCAAAAAAAAAACAAACAAACCAATACAACGCAGAACTTCGTACGTAAGTACATCAGTTCAGGTTGCCATTACCACATTAGCCCACAGAGACGCAACTGTCAGTTCAAATCCAAGAGTGATAGTGATATTAAAAGTATTAGCAGCAATCGAAAAGATTAGGGAGCTACGATATGATTCGAGAAGTATGATTCAATGAGATAACTTTATAAAGTGAAAGATGGAGATGATGAGGAATTCAGAAGGTTAAGATTAAAAAGCACACAAAGAGTGGATGCACCTACGCCGTTGCAAACGATTCTGAGCTATGTCCTTCAAGATCTCTAACCATTGGTGACTTTCGTCTCGCGGACCCCAACCAGGTAGTCTACATCTACCAACATGACTCAGTCCACTAGTCAGTGACTTCATGGATTTGTGCCATGTTTTGGTTTGGCCGTCCCTAGCTTTCGTCTAATCTACTCCTACACCACAAAACATAGCTTGTCGAGGCAGTCGTTGGTTAGGCATACGCAACACATATCCCAACTACCTCAACTGTTGAAGTTTCATTACTTCATCTATTGATCTGCCATTCTTACCTAGCACCCGTTTCCTAATAAGAGCGTTGCTCACTCGGTCGTCCCATGATACACAAGCAATGCTTCGGAGACACCTATGATCGAAGACTAGTAACCTACGGAAGTCCTCTACTCTTAACGGCCATGTTTCGCATCTGTATAGTAGGACAGAGCAATCAGTCTAGTGAAACTACACTTGAACATAAATCTTGAAGATTTTGCAACAATCCTAATCAGTATTGTATCGGAACACTAGGTTTCACCGATTATTACTTCAATAGGATTGTTTGCTAAGAGGTTTCTCACATGTCTGAAAAAAAACAACGTTTACTCTAAGTTGCAGAGAGTAACCACAATTTGAAACCTATACACACTAATTTTCAATGAAGCGTAGAGAAGAAAAAAACACAAAACAACTATTTCTATCGATCACGATGAAACTTCGACTGGAGCCCCCACCACCTCCGCCTAAGGCTACTGCCAGTCCCGATCCAGGATAAAGGAACAGGAACGAAATCTCAGCTCGGATACAGAAGGCTCAACTGGCTTTTGCCAACCTGCGTCACTTATGGCGCAGGCGAGATATCCGCTTGCTGTCTAAAGGACGAGTGTACTGCGCAGTAGTTCGCTCCGTCTTACTTTATGGCTGTGAAACATGGCCAGTGAGAGTAGAAGATATTCGCAGGTTACTGGTTTTCGATCATAGGTGTCTCCGAAGCATTGCTCGGATATAAAGGGAAACCCGAGTGAGCAACGCTGTTATTAGGACACGGGTGCTAGGTAAGAATGGCAGATCAATAGATGAAGTGCTGAAACTTCATCAATTGAGGTGGTTGGGACATGTGCTGCGTATGCCGAACCACCGACTGCCTCGTCGAGCTTTGTTTTGTAGTGTAGGAATAGGTTGAATGAAAGTTAGGGGCGGCCAAACGAAAACATGGAACAAATCCATGAAATCATTGACAAGTAGACTTAGCCATGTCGGTAATTGTCGACTACCTGGTTGGGGTCCGCGAGATGATAATAATCGATGGTTAGAGACCTTGAATGACATGGCTCAAAATCGTTCGCAATGGCGCCGGTGCATTAATTCTTTGTGTTCTCTCAAATCCTAATCTTCTGAATTCTTCAACATCTCTAGTTTTGACTTTCTAAACTTTTCTCACTGAATCACATTTCCTGAAAATCTTCTAATCCTAACCTCTTCGATTACTACTCCTAATACCTTTGCTACCTCTTCTACTATTGTGGGATTTGAATCGACAATTACATCTGTGTGCTAATGTGGTATGGCAACATGAACTGATGATATACTTACGTACAAAGTTCTACGTTGCATCTGACTGACTGACTGACTGAACAGGTTTGGGCATGATTGAATTAGCGACCCACCCACCTGATCGCATAGAAAATTAACTCGTTAAAATTCAATGACCATATAATAATACATGACCATAATACATGCATCAAGTGAAAAATTTTTTTTAAACTTACTTAACAGGTACACCCAAAATATGCTTATAAAATGCTCGTGTAAAATAACATTCCAATAATTTATTATCATTAATTGCTTTAGCAATAAAACGTCCAACAAATTTAAAATATGACAAATGATTACTATTTATGTATGAACTTGGATTAATAGTATAAGTGACACGATCTGCTGGTGATACACGAAATAAACAATAATTTGGATTGAAAATTTCACGACTCATTAATAAAAACCATTCTCTTAATGGACCACCAGCATCTTGTCCTTCTTCGTCTAAATGAATAAATAAACGAGAGAAATGAAATAAAAAAGGAAAAGGATTTAAGGTTGAAGTATTCAATGCTGTAAGTACACTTGATTTTTATAGCAATAAATCGAGAACAACTGTGTAATTTTCCAACCAAACGCTTAATCAGTCATTAGTCCCCAACCATAGCTGCTCCCTTGACATGGTAGTGGTCGGACTTGCCTATTGTGATGACCCAACCGAACGATATTGGCTAGAACATGTGTTCCCTGTAGGTTCTACCATACCACGCAGGTCGATTGAAGAACGATGATACAAAAAAGCACCAATTCAAGGTGTGAAAGGGAAGTTGTACTGCTGACTGCAGAGGGGTATGATAGCAGTAAGGTGTTTCCTTCGGACAACCAGCATCTGCAGCGATAGACAGGCAGATACAACGCAAAACTTCGTACATAAGTACATCAGTTCAGGTTGTCATACCACGTCAGCACAGAGACGTAACTGTCAGTCAGCATACGAGATTAGATTGGTCAAAATCAAATCTGCAGCGATGATGCTTTCTCACAAGGAAGGTAGGAGTTAGAAAAGGTCGACACTAAAAATGTCACACCTGACTTAATCAGTCAGACAGCTACGTCGCAGTACTTGGTACGTACGTATATTAGTTCGAGCTGTCATAACATAGAGAGATCGAATCGTCAATCTGAATCCTACAGACAGTAGTGTTAGCAGTAATGGAGAAGATTAAGATTCAAAAATATTAATATGAATGACAGTTTAAAATTTTAAGCTTACAACCGGTATCCCATATTCACTGATCTAATACTCTACGGCTTAACTGTTATTCATTATGAATTTTTCTTCTAGACATGTCATATCTGACAGTCGATTAATTAAACTTACGATCATAATATTGACCATAGTAGGTTTGTGAATCAACTATCAATGAAAGATACACCTGAGGCAGGACGTCGTCGTACATTTTGTGTAACAATGCACAAATAGAGAAAAAAAACCACCTCATAAAAAACTGACTTCACCTGCTTCGTATAAGGTGTATCATAAAGTATGAATTCATTCAGTTAACTTAGTGATCGCATCATAAAACACTGACGATAATTAATAGTATTTGATTGTGACCAGCGTGGACTCATGTGCTTTTATAGGTATGAGGGTGGATGTTACTTCCCAGCTGCCCACACCACGGAAGGGTTCTGGTTGTCAGAAGGGGCATTGGCCTCATGACTTCCGAAGGAACTCAGCTTTCATCATGAGACATGATGACTAATCTAAATGAAGACCTAACTCCCAAAGTAGCGTTTTTTTGGCAAGTTAGTTTATTCCGGGATGGGGTCGACAACCCCCCAAGCTAAACCCTCTTCCTTTATCAGGGCTTGGGACCGGCAGTAGCCCCGAAGGGTTTACAGTATTCAAGCGAATTTGCAACTTTTAAAATCTATGACATTATACTAGTAGGGTTGGCAAAAAGCATGAAATGCAAGGGAAGGGATAAGAATGACCTTAAATTATGTAAGAATTATCACCTACGACGAGGTTAAGTAGTTAAAAAGGTTTTATTTTATGTTGACGAAACAGTGCTAATATGATATCATAATTATTGATTGAAAAAATAATAGCTGGGACTGATTAAAAAGAAACACACACACACACAGAGATGGAGATAAAAAAAACTCAGAAATATCTGAATTATGTACAAGATAAAAATTTATACAACAGAAAGTAGTAAAATAAAAAAAAAACAAAACCAGAAACTCACTTTGGAAACGAATCACAAATTTATGTTTCCATTCATTCACCGATTTTCTATGCAATCTAGCATAACTATCTTCAAATATCCGATCTCTTGACACAGTGATCGGATCATCATCATATCGATTACTCGACGTGGAACGATTCGATAGTGATTGTAATTGTTGTCGGAAGAAACGACGTTTCACATCGAAATCCAGCACACGAGGATAAGCTAAAAATACAGCAAACGGTGATTCACCTATATTTGCACCATATTGACGCAATACTTGACTTAAACCACGACGATATTTATCAGCAAATTCAATGATAGGATTTCGTGAAAATGGACTTTGTGATGTTGTTGTTGTTGTTGTTGCAGAACAACTTGCTAGTGTACATTCTGTCGCTGGTAGATCATCTTCTCCTGTAGTCACACCACTACTATTAGGAGATTGAGGTCCACCAAGATCAAAATATAAATGTCCAAGATGATCAGTTGTCGATGCTTTATTTGCATCAACATCTGAATTCGATGCCGAATCAACACACATATGCAACAACGGAACCATATCAATAAGGCTTAGCGTACCAGCAGAAGAACATGAATGATTAGTACGACTCGACCGACTATTTGTAGAACGTTGACGTAGTAAAATAGTTTCTTTCACTAAATGTATATGAGCTAAACAAAATACTTCCAACAGTGGTTGTAACAACAAGACAGCATTTTGATCATTTAAAGCTTGTAGTTTTTCAAATGCTTGACATAAATGATTCCAAAATTCATTAATACCAGGTACAGACAGTAATAAATCATCTGATGTCACAGGTATTGGATTAGAACCAATTAATGAACTATCACCAGCGGCTACACGTAACATTAAGCCTAAAATACCACGTAGACGACATTGATCATTATTGGGAGAAGTGAATACTTCGGAAGAATTTAATTGTAAATCAGAAAATTTCATTGTCGATTGTGTACGTGTATCATTATTATTACTACTACTACTGGATACAATGACCATTTGTCCAGGTATACCAAAACGATCAGGTAGAACATCATATGAAGAGATACGACTTATCTCAGGTGCATAACGTGATGTAGATGGCTTGTATGGATCATCTTTTGAAAGTGAATCGAATGGTTTAAGTTTGAGTCGTTTGTCAACTTCAGATACAAGACACTGTTTTACAAAAAAGAACAACACGATAATAGTACAGAGAATTTTAATCACAGATCATATATATATAATAAATTGGTTGAATAAATAAACACAAGCTGAATTTCATACAGACAGATAGATACAATGCAGAACTTCTTAAGTACATACATCAGTTTAGGTTGCCATGCCCCATCAGCACAGAGATGCAACTGTTAGTTCAAATTCAAGAGTGATAGCATCTGCAGCGATGCTGCCTTCTCATAAGGAAGGAAGGGTTAGAAAAGGTCAACCTTAAAAATGTCACACTTCACTTTACCTCACGCACTTCCGACTCCGGCGGTAAGGGTGCGGAGCAAATACTAAACAAACCTTTAATAAAAAGGCCGTGCGTGACCGGCCTCAATCAGTTGTCTCTTGGACTCTGCGGTCACGCACCCAGGTCTGTAAGACCAACACTAATCTATCTTCCTTTTCAGGTCCCTCAAGAAACAACCTTGCACGGTGTGGGCAGCCGGGAAGTGACAACCACCTTCATACCCATAACAACACACGAGACCGAATTGGTCAAAATCAAATCCTTCCTACACCCCTTTAGATTTCATACTGACTGTTCCTTTTTATCATTACAAGAACCAAACAAAATAACATAAATGAATTCATCTTATCCTGTTTGATTAAATCTTTATTCTTGCTCTTGTCAACGTTAACCAATCGACAACTGTTGACCACAGAAATTTATTAGTTAACGTGAAAGTAAAAAAACTAGAAGCAACAAGACCGACGTGTTTTTTGGTCAATATAAAACCGATATTTATAAATCGCAACTTTATCACAAGTACAAACTACAATTTCCGTCGTATAAAACATGTTTAATAAGCCGATTGAAGTTAGACAAGTACACATTTCTTGTTACTGTAAAACTGTATCGATAAATTCATATATATCTGTTAAAGCTGCTACAGTTAGTTAGTTAGTTAGTTAGCTACAATGTAGAACTTCTTACGCACGTACATTAGTTCAGGTTGTCATGCCAAAAAGGCCGCTAAAAACAATATTTAATATTAAGTTTCTACCTCAAAATCCCACTGTTTAAAGTAATTAAGAATGTAATAATCAAGTTTAAGCTGCTGTGAAGATGATTGGGTCTATGCGAATTATGTAATATTACGGTTATAAGGCGGTTTGAAATCATTTGCTCCTGTATACACTGATACATTTAAGAGTAAGTACCGAGTTCATTAATCATCATAAAAAAAAGTCAGATATGATAACGAGTATAAAATTTTTGTTCTGGACTAAGTAAGTGATTCAATAAAAACTGAGGAGTTGAATTTGAAAAGACAGTCAGTCAATCAGTCAGTTACAACGTAGAACTTTGTACATGAGTACATAAGTTCAGCTTGCCATACCCCATCAGGACAAAGACGCAACTGTCAATTCAAATCCCATAGTGATAGAGATAATAGAAGTATTAGCTGTAATCGATAATATCAGGGATTGAAGGTATGATTCGAGAAGTATAATTCAGTGAAATGACTTTGGAAAGAGAATGATAGAGATGATGCGAAATTCAGAAGATTAGGATTTAAGAGAACACAATGAATGAATGCACCGGCGCCAATGCAAACGACTCTGATCCATGTTGTTCAAGGTCTCTAACCATCGGTTACCATCGTCTCGCGGACCCCAACCAGGTAGCCAACATCTACCAACATGACTCAGTTCAACAGTTAGTGCCTTCATGGATTTCTGCCATGTTTTGGTTTGGCCACCCCCAACTTTCTTCCAACCTACTCCTACACCACAAAACAAAGCTTGTCGAGGCAGTCGGTGGTTCGGCATACGCAACACATGTCCCAACCATCGCAACTGATGAAGTTTCACTACTTCATCTATTGATTTGTCATCCTTACTTAGTAGCCATTTCCTAATGACAGCATTGCTTACTCGGCTGTCCCAAGACGCTTAAATACAACATACTGAATAAGAGGATATAAGACTGAAGTGCATAAGGTTTTTAAGCACTCTAAAGAGACGGACACACTAGTTATGACTCCTTATTCATTATTTAACAATGTAAGGCATCGCCCTAATTTAGACTGATTCATTCAATACTAACTGTCAATAGACTACTACTAATATACTTTTACCTAGACCAAACAAGTCATTCAGAAATCAATCAATAGAAAATACCTGTAATTGATCAGATATAATAGAAATCAATTGACCAGCTGTAATTGATAATAAACGTAAAATTAATTCTTTCATAGTTTGATTTGCATGCGCTAAATCAGTAATCAATTGTGTAGTCATAATACGTGCAGCTTCAGAAAATTTTGGAACTAATACAAGTTGACATAAAGTTTCAATCACTTGTGACCGGAGAGGATTCATTAAATTATTATTTGTTGATGATGATGATGTGGTTGTTGTTGATGATGAATAATTGGATATTGGTGGTTCAGTTGACGTAGATGCTGAAGATGATGATGCTGATTGATTTTCTGGCATTGATGTAGGTGTATTCTCTACAATTTGAGTTGATTGTACCTCAATGGTCGGTTGTTGTTGTTGTTGTTGTTGTGATGAAAGATCAGTTGGATTCTTATTTTAAAAATAAATACAAATTAAATAATAAAAACAAAGCTTAACACGAATAAACAAACAGTGCGTGATTGAACATTTCAAGTTCAATGTTCAAGATGAAAATCAAACACATCAGGTTTCACAATTCAAGTAAGTCAACACACATATGAGAGATTGTGGTGTTTGAATTTTCATTAAACTCTTCTTTCCTACAGTCAAAATCAAATGACGTAACATTGTAAGGATATGCACCAAATATCCTAAGAATACTATTTTTAGGAGTACAATGCTATTGGTCGATTTCTATTGGCCGAAATTATGATCGTTCTTACCGTCAGGGTCAAATACTTCAATGTTACCTCTTATTGGTCATCGGGACTGTCAATGTCATTCAAATGTTCTTTTCTATTGATCGTCCTAAATTGTCAATGTCACGGACGTTGAAGCTTTTTCTTATTAGACCTTAGTGTATAAATACGCGCTATCTGAAAGACTTAATAATTCCGTCCGTTTCCCCTGTTTACCTCTTCTTCTGTATTCGACCCAATAAACAACTTCCTTCCACGGTGTTACGCGTTTTGATATCTAGGAGATTTGGAAATAGCATTTTGGGTCGTATTGGGATATTTGAATTGGACGCCGTTAGGACTGAAGAGCTATACGTAGCAGCGTTACAACAGTAAAGCTGGACAAATGTGTCAATATGTGTTGTCCATTGTAGAATAAATTGATTTTCAAAAGCGCGCTCCATCAACTACTTTTTCTCGGATCACATTACATTGTCAGACTAATTCTTACGGTTAAAAGAGTATTTCGAAGTAGAATACACAGTTGTAACTGTTTTTCATGAGTTACATTACTTCTTTCAAAATATTTGCAAACGATTTAGCTATTAATTTACTGAAAACGATTTAAAAATCTAGCCAAAGAATAGTTATATCATTGACCGAATAATGAGGTTGGAAAATCCATTCAGAATATTATATTATCAGAAGGAAATTATTTACAAGAGATTAGGAAACATTATTTCAGCAATGAATTACACATGTGTATATTAACGAACAACTAGATTAAAACGAATTTATTTGCACAGAACTTAAAGTGTCAAATATGAATTATTGGAGCATTGAACATTTAACTCAGCCAATTGGGGCTACCAATTTGAAATTGGGTTTCATTAGTTTAGTCAACCTTTCCACACACACAAACACCAAGCTGCTTAGATATATATGTTGGGGACGTTAGATCCCCAGAACACACTTGGTAAAGGTCCTAATTTTGGATTTTGTGCTTTCGAGCATGAGTTGATCAGTTGACCTTGAGAGCACATTTCCCACCCAGGAAATCCTTGAGTGTTATTGGTTGATGTAGTATTTTAGTGTGTGCTATTTTTGTGACCCTCCCAAGGACGTTTCTATGATATGTATAAATGAACTCGATTTGTGTGCTTGTAAAACCTCATATTTTCTGGGTGCTTGCAGAATAAATACACTTTCTAAGCCAATATCAAGACTTTTTGCTATAGTTAGCAGGGCCGGGAACAATCGAACCAGAATAGCTCATTACATCACTACATCGTTTACCGATTAAGGTGAACTCGTAATAGTTTCAAGCATATCAATTGATGAGCATATCAATATATGTATACATAAACATGATAATTGAATGAAAGAGTGTATATAAAACTTTTTTTTGCTTACTTGTTGATTTGTATCTGTTAAAATAGTATTGACAGTAGTTGGTGGTGGTGCAACAAGATTAGTTGAATGAGTGGTAGATTGTGCTACTGATATATTTGAATGTGATTGACTAAGTAAGAAATCTTTAACAATTCCAGCCAGTATAGTAATTAAACGTTCTTGATGACTTGGTCGATCATGTAATAATTGATGACAAAGTAATTCTGATAGAGCAGTGAAACAATTCATTGGAGTATTGGTTTGAATAAGAGATTTCGGATTGTTATTGCTGTTAGTGTATTGTACATCACTGGTTATTTCTTTCATCATGGAAGTATTGTCTAATACATCGACGGCTATAAGTAGAAATAAGAGATTTTGGTTAAGACAAAGAAACAGATTGACATAATCAATATAAGGGCAGTAAAGAAAATTGTTGAATTCAATGGACCAACTACCGAATAGCAACTAATATATTAAAAACCAGGAAACATATAAATAGATGTTTTATTTCTCTTCATAGTATAAGATTTCTCAATATTACTACTACTAAAAGACTTGAGTTTGCTTTCTGTCATAATTCCCTCTTTATTACAACCCAGATATTCATAATGCTTAGTTCTTCTCGGGCAACAATTCACTCGAGACGTTCTCCCAAAATCAGAACACCGTTGAACAGGAAGACAGAAAGTCCAAAGGAAAAAGACGTCAGTATATTTATAGTTTTCTTACATGAGATGATAATAGAATGTTCGCTCAGTATCGGCAAGCGCTGATTGGATAGGGACGAGCCAATCAGCGTGCAACAAAGCAATCGTGCTTTAATACAATCTATGTCCCACTAACACTTTCTGGTGAGATACTGTTGATGAGCACAGCTAACAAGTCACATGGTAATTGTTTAATCAAGGTCAGTCTGTAATGTACTCTACTTATACACTGGGATTTGAATTTAAAATTCCAATCATAAAATGTAGTACAAAGTCTTAACAACAACATGATACAGACTAAATATTATGCTATGAAGAAGACATGTGTCTTAAATAGTTACGATTGAAGATGAAATTTTTAATTCCATATTGTACAATATTTGGTGATGTGAGTACTTCAGCCACCGCGTCACCCCACAACTACGATGATAACTACACACAGATTACAAGTAGGACTTCTTGACAAATGTAGACTGTTTTAAGTACCCTGTACTATACAGAAAGCATGTATAATTTCTCATTCCCGACTGAAGCTGCTACCTTGACGTGGTGGTCGAGCTTGACTATCGTGATCACCCAACCGAGATATATTGGCTGGAACACATGTTCCTGAAGGTTCTACCATGCCAGGCAGGTCGATTGGAGAACGATGAGACTAAAAGCAGCTACTCAAGGTCTGAGGGCGAAATCGTACTGCTGACTGCAGAGAGGTGTGACAGCAGTAAGGTGATTCCCTCGGACAACCAGCATCTGCAGCGATGCTGCCTTCTCATAAGGAAGGAAGGGTTAGAAAAGGTCGACCTTAAAAATGTCACACCTCACCCTACCTCACGAATTTCCGTCTCCGGTGGTAAGGTTGCCCACTAAAGGCTTCTAAGAGCGGAGCTAACACTCAAAACACCTTTAATAAAAACGTCGTGCGTGACCGGCCTCAAGCAGTTGTCCCTTGGGCTCTGCGGTCACGCTCCGAGGTCGTTAAGACTAACGCTAAACCAACTTCCTTTTCAGGTTCCTCAAAAAGCACCCTTCCACGGTGTGAGCAGCCGGGAAGTGACAACCGCCCTCATACCCGTAACAGCAGGCGAGACGAAATCGGTAATAATCAAATAATAATTTCTCATTTGATAGTTCAGTAACGTCAAATGTTTAATAAGTCTATTAGCATTAGGAGTAGTAGTACTAGTAGTTGTTTCAACCTAGTTTAATGTATGACAAATTATTTATCATTGAACTTATTTCGAACCACTCACTAGTTTACACTATTCATTGTAATTACACAGCTTAATTACTCAAAGTTAATTGTTGTTACATATATATTTACCAACAGAGGAAATTACATATCAACTAGCAATTTGCATTAATCTAATAACACTTATATAGTAAATGCATTTGTCAGTGTGTGTTGACTGTATTCATTTAGAAAAAAAATAATTATCATCATCAGTATCACAATAAATCCAGTCTATGCAGAGAGGTTAGTCTAAAAAAAAAAGTTGAAATGTATGTATAAACTGTCAGTCAGCGATCTTTAACAATGGATGAATCCGTCAATCAAATACAACGCAGAACTCGGTACGTACGTACATTAGTGTTCAGCCTACCATATCACATGAGCACAGAGGCGAAATTTTCACTTCAAATCTTATGGTAGAAGTATTCTTGGTAATGGAGAAGATTAAGGTTCAAAGGTGTTATTCAAGAAGTACGATCTAATGTGTTTGAAAGTCAGTCAGTCGCAACGTAGAACTCCGTACATGCGTATACATAAGTTCATGTTGTCATACCACATTAGCAAACAGACGCAAATATCAAATCAAATCCCATAGTGATAAAGGTAGTAGAGGTATTAATGGTAATGAAGAAGACTAGGGTTTGAAGATATTATTCAAGAAGTATAATTCAGTGAGATAAGGTTAGAAATACAAAGGTAGATGTGTTGACGAATACAGAAGATTAGGATTTGAGAGACCACAACGAATGGATGCACTTGCGCCATTACAAACGATTCTGAGCCATGTCGTTCAAGGTCTCTAACCATTGATGACTTTCGTCTGGCGGACCCTAACCACGAGAAAGACCAAGTTGATGAAGAATTCATAAGATTAGAATTTGAGAGAACACAAAAAAGAGTGGAAACACCTACGCCATTACAAACGACTTTGAATCATGTCGTCTAAAAAGTATCTAACCATCGGTGGTTACTACTATCAAAAACTCGCGAATCCAAAACCAGGTGACAGTCTACGCCTACATCAAAAAATCGAACAGAATTACAAAATAAAACATACACTTTACCTGAATAAGATGATGATGATAATGGTTCACTGGTTGTTGTTGTTGTTGTGGTGGTTGCCGTTGTGGTTGTTGCACTTGAACTAGATAATCTATGACATGGTTGATTGTTACTTGTTTTTGACTCTGAATCCATGGTTTGTTGTTTGTCCGAAATCGAAACAGGTCGTTTACGTGATGATGATGAAGTTTTTGTTCGTCGAGTTACAGATCGTGTACTAGTAGCAGTAGTAGGAGTAGATCCAACATTTGTTGATGTTAGATTCGATTGAGAAAGTCGATTGAATATATCCCAGAATGATGTATACACAACTACAAAAAAAAATTAGGTAGGCAAGTAAGCAAAAAACAAACAAACAGTTGTTGGTATAGAAAACAAAACATAAAGGATCGTTCATGATATATAAGCTACTGTTTGTTCATGAAACGATAAGTTGTGTTGAAGGTAAGTGGTCAAATAAATAAAGAAGGAAACTCATATTTTGGTTGTAACTCCACCTGGGGCCGTCGTTCTGGGGTTACTGTTGGTCCCAAGCCCGGATAAAGAAAGAGGGTTCGGCACAACCAAATGGTTGTGTGTTAAAGATTTAGTATCCTTGGTAAACCAACAATACTGCTGCATTTTAAGTAACACAAGGATTCTCACAAGAGCCAATATTGCAATCACCCCTGCTCCATACATGAACGCACATGTTGTATAGATTGATCTGCAGATAAGTGGACGTCTAAAAAGCACGCACATGAGCAGTAGCCCCGGTGCGGGCAATCAACAAGATCCTTCCAACCAATCCACTACCCACAATCCCCAATCGGCAAGGGCGACAAGGCGGGCTTTCCCAGAGGGACCTGGTGCCCCGAACGGATTACCGATCCACCCAGCAGCTGTTCCAACCGTCTGGCCTCCAACTGCCTTGTGCTAATACAATCGACCGGATTTAGAATATATCCATAACACAGCCATGACGTTGGCGTTAAAATTTGCCACTTTTAAATATATCAACTCGAAAGTGAGCCTAATCGATATGATGGTGGTACCTAAACGAATGAGGTATCATTTTTGCTTTCAATAATAAACAAGCTCAACTACTTGAGTTCAATTTCTACATCTTTTTGACTATTGAACGAAATAGATAACATTGTTATCAGATATTTTATATCAGGACTATATCCGTTTCAGCAAATATTTAGAAAAAAGTTGTCTAAGCAAAAAGTATGCAGAGCAGGGGGTTCGAGCTATAAACATGGCTATTGGAAATGAAATGACTAAACCATTTAACCATTGTTCCACTTCCTAATGAGGATCCACGTATCAGTATAGTGGTTTTTTTCTTCACGATATATTCAAATGAATAGTAAGTAGTATGATGCTAGGAAATCGGCATGATAGTCATATTATTGCCAAGTGTTATACTGTGATATTAGCTCTTTACATTAAAGCTGAACAGAAAAAAAATACTTACTATCAGTACTATGAGAAGTTCCAGCCGATTGACATACTTCTGATGGATAAAAATGTGATGGAAATGCACGTGTTAATTCATTCAAAGTTTCCAACAGGACACTAGCAACAGAAACTGCTGCTTGAGGATGTATAATATAACGGATAGGAGTAACTGAAGATGTATCTTTGCATACAACAGTATTAGAATCACTATGAAGATATGGAGATGTATGAGTTTGATTTTGAGGAATAGGATGAAATATCCTGACCCAACAACCTAATGCAGCTTCAAATCCAGTATGGAATAATGTGTGATTAGACATTGGTCTTGTAGAATATTGAAATTCACTTTCAGAAGCAGTGATTGTAGAAGAAGATGATATCCCCCCAAGATCATTTGAAGTACTTGGTATTGGTTCACATTCTTCTATGTTTGATATAAAATTCGGAGAAGTTAACTGTATGTGGGGAGATGGTTTTTCTGACAATCCATTAAATAAAGATATGATAGTGCTTACAATCCAATTTCGTGTAGCCGAATGACAGGATAGATTACGTAGAACCTGAAAGGTAACAACAATGTTACAAGATATAATTTACTGAATTCTAGGACAAACAATACAACAAATGCTAACATTCACATCAGCTAGTGTGGGATATTTATCAAGTATTTGTCAATTCAGGGCTAGAGAATAATAAAATTACACTAAAAATAAATACGAACGAAGGAGAAGTTTGCAACGATTTCCAGTGAGAATCAGACTAAGTCGTTGTTAAGCTTTGATTCTGTTAGTGATCAATGATCGACAAAACTTATCCTATAGCTTGCCTTGAAACCACTTATTTTGTATGTTTTACCAATTAATATATTATATAGAGACATGTGATTTTCCAGGTAAACAAATTCTATCCTGATGGCCTGGTGACTGATGAAATCTCAGCACGAATACAGAAGGCTCGATTGGCCTTTGCCAACTTGCGTCACCTATTGCATAGGCGAGATACCCGTTCGCTAACCAGAGGACGAGGGTACTGCGCAGTAGTTCGCTCCATCCTACTTTATGGCTGTGAAATATGACCAGTCGGAGTAGAAGATATTTATAGGTTACTAGTTTTCGATCATAGGTGTCTCTCCGAACCAATGCTCATGTATCCTGGGACAATCGAGTGGGCAATACTGTCGTTAGGATACGAGTACTAGGTAGAGATACCAAGTTAGTAGATTAAGTATGTAAAATCTATCAGTTGAGATGGTTGGGACATGTGTTACGTATGCCTAACCACCGACTGCCTCGACGAGCTATGCGCTGCGATGTAGGAACAGGTTGGAAGAAAGTTAGGGGCGGCCAGACCAAAACATGGCAGAAATCCATGAAGTCACTGACAAGTGGACTGAGTCATGTCGGTAGTTGTCGACTACCTGGTTGGGGTCCGTGAGATGATCGTAATCGATGGTTAGAAACCCTGAATGACATGGCTCAAAATCGTTTGCAATGGCTCAGGTGCATTCACTCTTTGTGTTCGCTGAAATTCTATTCTTCTGCATTCGTTAACACCTCTACCTTTGTCGTTCTAAACTTATTTCACTGAATTATACTTCTTGAATAATATCTTCGAACCCTAATCTTCTCTATTACTGCTAATACTTCTACTATCTCTACACCACTATGCGATTTGAACTGACAATTATATCTCTGTGTGCCAAGGTGGTATGGCAACTTGAAGTTCTAAGTTACGGTTGATTGACTGAAGTCTATCCTGATGGTTCGTTTTTCTGTCTTTTAAAAAAAAAATAGGTATTTAGATAGGTGTCATTGTATCAATATAAATCAAGGATTATATACAACCGTAGAATATAAAACACAGACCAATAAAACTAAGACATTCAAAGATGCTGACAGAAATGAGGACGAAAGATCAAAACACACACACAAACTATTACAGTTACTTACTTTTTTCACTGTTGGTATAATATTTTGTCTTTGATTTGCCCCAGATGAACTAGCTACCAATAATACAATTATACATGTTAATCCTTCATGATCAATTAATTCACGACTAGATAAACCAGCCATTGTACGAATACCTAGAGCATTATTTAAATTTAATGCTGTACCACTATCAATATGATTAGGATGTACAACAATTTGATCATTTGAATGAAATCGAACAATCCAACGTCCTTGTCCACCACCACCACCACCGCCACTACCACCACCACCAACTCCAAAACCACTACCACTTAATAAACCAGAATTCGTAGTGAAATTACGCCAAATATCTTTAGTAGTAAGTAGAAGAACAGAAAAAACAACAACAATGATAAAGAGTTTGGTGAATTTTAACTGGTGATGTTAGAACATAAATAAGAAAAACTTGAAAGTATTGAAAGATGGTCGATTCGCTTTGGTAAGTGAGTCATTAGTAAGGTGCATCCATGACTCTTCCACGGTGTGGGCAGCCGGGCAGTGACAACCGCCCTCATACCCGTAACAGCACGCGAGATCAAATTGGTCAAAATCAAATCCTTCCTACACCCCTTAATATCTCTCTTATCTCCACAACTAACTCTTCTCACGTTCCTTTATCTCACTGCACCTCTAATGCAAACGAAGCGAGTTCACGAGACGTCATTCCTGGTCTCTTGAAACCCCGTTCTAGACTTCATGTTGGAGCATTTAATGCACGGATATTGTGTCGAATAGGGCAACAGACTTCCTGCTTAAAACCGTTTGCAGTGGCGCCGGTGCATTTATTCTTTGTGTTCTCTCAAATCCTCATCTTCTGGATTCTACTTCTGGACCACTGAGTTGGTATCTAACGGTGTTAATGTTTAAACTTTGATCAATCCATAATCATACGCAACCTCATCCACTGTCTTCGGTGAGTACTACCTCACACCTGAACAAGGTTGAACTCCACTAGTCGCGATTTCTCACTAGACTTCAGAGAAACTTCTTAACGGAGCTAGTCACTAGTGAGCAAATGATAACTTGCATGATCATGCGAGTTGAGGGAGTGGTGGATGCACATTGCTGATGAGTCCCACACCACCACGACGAAACGGCTATCCAGAGCTTTCAGGTTTCTAATGATCATCTAACATGGATCGATTCATGATTTCAAAAATTAACTCAACCAATTATCTCCATAACCCTATCATGAAAATTATTATGAATATCGATCAAAATTTAAATGAACAGTGAAACTGTGATAACTCTAGTGTTTTATCTGTTAAACTTATTTGAACTTCACTTCAGATTATAATACTGATGTGTGAAACATTGACATCACATTGAAGCTACATTTTATGTTAGTTAAAAGTTGTGACTTTGTTTTATTATGAACTAGACGATTGAATTCTACTGTTTATCAGTGCAAAGATCTGCCTAGTGTTCACGAAAGAGTAGTAGAAGTAGTAGTAGAACTAGCAGTAATTAAAAACGAATATACTTGTATTACTCACTAACAGATAACATTGATTCTAGTTTTATGAGTACAAGAGCCTTATTATCCAAATAGTATAATAATTTCTGAAGTATGGTAACAAATGTGTGATGACTGACTAAGTGGTAAGAAGAAACACCGGAAATTCACCGCTAAATGGATAAAAACCTATTGTTTTTTTCCCCCATAAATCTATGAAATCAATCTGAATGAGAGAAAAAAAATTCAACACAATCACTTACGATAAGGTCGTGAATCATTGGAATGTGCAAAAATACCATTTTGTACAGCTCGAGCATAACGTTCTTCATGCTCTCTACGTAGACGATTTGCTTCTACAACTAAATACTGTGGAAGTGTTTCCAATTGTGATTCATCCATATCAGCTAATACTTCACGAAGTACAGATGGTGGAAGTGAGACAAGGAATGCAGTATTACTACTATCAGTGGCATTTTGTGTTGTTGTTGTTGTTGTAGTTGTAGGCGGAGCATTCGATTGATCAGTTGTACTAGTTTCACCAGATGTACTGGTTGTTGTTGTAGTGGATGGTTGTTGAGTGGAAGACTGTTGCTGTTGCTGCTGCTGCTCTTGACGAAATTGAGCTAGAACCTTAAGAAAATGATTGATGAAAACGACGAATTATAAAACAGACAATATGTATAATGTGATGTTTACATTGTATGTTTACAATTTCAATAGGTAATGTATTCACATAAAAAAAGTAAAACAAGAGGTGACAAACTAATTTATTGAGAAAAAAAAGAAGAGAAGGCAATCTCATACATTTTGTATGGTAAAGCTTTCTATGTTCAATACATTGTTAATCTAGATCGGTAGTTACAACAAGTGAGCATGTGAAAAGGTTTAGTCATGGAGGTAAGACGGTTATTAAGAGGTTATAGGAAGGATTTGAATGGGACCAACTTGGCCGCATGTGTTGCTGCTGTTACCAGTATGAGGGCGGATATCACTTCCCAGCAGCCCGCACCGTGTAAGAGTGCTTCTTGAAAAATCTGAAAAGTAAGCTGGATTAGTGTTGGTCTTGCGGAGGGGCGTGAGTAGCCTGCTTGAGACCGAAATCACGCACGGCCTTTTTATTGGAAGTTTATAAAGTGTTCGCTCCGCTCTTCAAATGGCCTTACTGATGGAGACGGCAATCCGTGAGGTAAGGTGAGGTGTGACATTTGTAACTTCTCCCTTCCTTGTGCGAAGACAGCATCTCTGTAGATGCTGATTGTCCGAGGGAAACATCTTACTGCTGTCGCACTCCTCTACAATCAGCAGTACAACATCACCCTCAGACCTTGAGTTGCTGCTTTTAGTCATAAAGTTCTCCAATCGACCTGCCTGATATAGGAGAACCTACAGGAACATATTCTGCAGCCATTATAGCTCGGTTGGGTCATCACGGCTACGCTCGAGAAGTTAGCGTGATTGACAACAGTTTGTAAGAATCCTTTTGTCAAGTTAGTGAACACAAAGCATACAATAAAATTATCAAACAGAAAAATTCCAATTGAAGGTTGGAATAGGTACGCTAACGTTACGGCATATATACAGCTTAATAACTAGTGAATTTATTTATTTGAACACATAAATACTAATACAAACAAACGGTCATCAAAATATATACCATGGTAATAAGTGGATAAAACTGTGAAGAGATAAATGAAGGCAAGTGAATAGACTACGAAAATAATCAGATGAATAAAAATATATTCTGATTTATGTTTGATAACGTCGCAAACTAAGGGGTTATGATTATCTCTAGGACCCTAACTAGAGAGTTATGATGGACAGTCAGTTGCCAATTCTATTGTTGTTTTTTTATTCATAATCCGACATCATCTTATAAACTCACCATGTCTACGCACGCTACTTTCAACTAGTCAAATAAAGCAAAATGTGTAATTCGCCGGGAAGTAATTTGTCGTACGTGCTCAAAATGTTGAGGCGAGTAATTAAAAATGGTGACAATAACTACATTGCCGTCACTATGCCCAAACACATTTTAACTTTTACGGTTTACTATTAAGTGAAGATACAGTAGGTCCAATAGGTCTTATAAAAGTACTGTGGATTTAAGAGGTGCAAAGTACATGTCATATACCTACGGAGACTGTTTGGTAACTAATTAAGCCTAGAGGTTTGTATAGCTTTATCATTATCCGAATGCTCAAGATCAAAGAGTTTATCACCAGGAAATATATCCAAAACCCGTTGACACCTACTTCTAACTACTAAACATAAACAGAATACCCTTACACACACATGTAAAAAGAAACATGAATTTATACCAGAAATACAACATACGACATAAAAGATAATAAAGGCAATAAACACTACATTCCAATGCATACCTCTTCTTGAATATGCGGTGGTAGTCCAGTTAACCATTCTGAATTAATATGTACCGGTAAACTCATAGAATTAATACGTTGTTGAACTTGTCTTGCATAACGATGATCTGCTATGACTTCTTGTCGCATTTCTTCCGGTAATGCATCTAAAAATGATGGATCCATTCCACCTTCTACTAATGATTGAATAGTTTCTTCATCAGTCATTACAAGTGATCTTGTTGCTGATGAAGGTGGCGGCGGTGGCGCAGTGGAAGTGTCGGTAGTAGTAACAGGAGTAGCAGTCGTCGTAGTAGTAGTAGTGGCAGGAGTATCATTAGATGTGACAGGATTTGTAGGCTCTGATTCATTTTGACCAGATGAAATAGTTGGATTTACAGCAGCTTGAATATTTTATTGAGAGAAAAAAAAGGGGTTCGTTCATGAATATTAAATCATAACAAAAAATAGTAACGATAATATATTCGTCAAAAAGTCAGTCAGTTAGGTCGGTACAATATAGATCTTTGTACGTACGTACATAAATTCAGATTGACATACCATAGCATGACATAGCACAGAGACGCAATTGTTAGTTCAAATCTCATAGTGGTAGAGATAGTAAAAGTATCAGGAGTAAACGGAGTGATAAGAGTTCAAAGATATTATTATTCAAGAAGCAAAATCTAGTGAGATTACCTTAGAAACAGAAGGATTAGAATTTGAGAGAACACATGGAATGAATGCACCTGTGCCATTGTAAACTATTTTGAATTATGTCGTTTAAGGTCTCTAACAATGGATGACTTTCGTCTCACGGATCCAAACCAGGTAGTCTACATCTACCAACATGACTCAGTCCACTTGTCAGTGACTTCATGGTTTAGTGCCATGTTTTGGTTTGGCCACGCCTAGCTCTTTATTCCAACCTACTCCTACTTCGCAAAACATCGTTCGTCGAGGCAGTCGGTGGTTAGACATTGGTAACACGTGACCCAACCACCTCAATTGATGAAGTTTCACTACTTCATCTATTGATCTGCCATTTCCACCTAGTACTCGCTTCCTAACAACAACATTGCTTACTCGACTGTCCTAAGATAACCTAGCAATGCATCGGAGACACCTATGGTCGAAGACCAGTAACCTACAAATATCCTATACTCTTACTGGCCGTATTTCATTTACATAAAGTAGGACTGCGCAGTAAACCTGTAATTTGGTTAAAAGACGGACATCTAGCCTATGCAATAGTTGACGCAGGTTGGCAAAAGCCAATCGAGCCTTCTGTAATCGTGATGAGATTCCGTCAGTCAACAATGATGAGACTACTGAGAAAAGTGAAGCGGCCGACACGCTCGCACTACTTCACTATCCATCACTAGTTCAGGTGCCGATGTAACCCAAACTTGAAGCAACATTACGCATTTCGACCGAGGAAAATCGGATCCCGAACATCCTTGCATTGTCGCTCAGGGTAATCAGAAGACTCTGTATTTTGTTAGCATCTTCACCAAATAGAACTATTTCATTGGCGAATTCTAAGTCAACATGCGAGACTCCGGGTACAAGGCCCACTCCTGAAAAGTTAGACGAATATATTATTATCTGTAGAAGCAGGTCTATGACAAAGTTAAACAAGAATGAAGAAAGTGGACAGCCTTCGAAAAAAAGGGGAATTTTTTTCATTCCACAGTTAGCTGAATATGAATTTCTTCAGGAAAAAACTTTCATTTTAATTATGCTAACAATAAATTATATCTTCATGCAGTTTGTACTAACTGAGCGATTAGAGTATGTGCACAAGAGTATTTCTAGTGTTGTTGGAAGTATTGTCAACGTTTGTCACATCGTAGAAGGGTACTACTACTTCCTCTTCTTCTTCTTCTTCTTCTTGAAAGGCCTAAAAAATGAACTTGATCAGGGACGGTCATTGTAAACTAGAAGCGTATCAACCGGGCCAAAGATGCCAGCCATACATAAGTTTTTTCTGAGATTTTTATACATCTTAGCAGCGTGCTTCAAAGTGCCTTATCATCAGAGACAATGACAGCATCATTCAATATACTAGTTGCTCAGAGGAAGCAACTGACTACCATCGTTCGGCTATCTGATCCAATATGACTGACTATGTAGTTCTGGCCAAAACCGAACCACATGAAACAGGATTTTGAACTTGCCACTTACTGACTGAAGGTCGGGCACACTATAAGCACTGCCCCTATCATTCCTTTACAGATTAGTTAGGTATGTTACATTATAACTAAATTTCCAGTTAAATTTATTAAGAAAAAGATGTTAAGTATGAAAGTGAATTTCAAATGACTTACATAATTCTGATGAAATTGATATTTCAGATGCTTCACTCACAACACATACATCTGGATTAATTTGATTAATGGTCTCTACACCATCGATTGCATCAACAGTTTGTTGTGGTTGTTGTAAGTCGATGGATGATTCTTGACTGTAACCAGCATTTTCCGATGTTGACACACAAGTAACAAGCGGAGTGGCAAATGTTACAAATGTTTCCGCTGATTCAGTCACATTTTCATTGGTAGAAGCCAATGCTGGAGCTGCAACTGTCGGTTCATTTAGTGAGCTAGTAACTTCAGGTGAACAGACTACTTCATTTTCTGCAATACGTAGATTGAATAATTCATGACGTTTCTGTTCAAGTACTTTATAAATATGATAACGACCAAACAGAATAAGATCCATAATTTCATGCCCGAACAGCATTCGGGATAGATTGGTCCATCGTCGATAATGCGGTGGTAGAGCATAGCCTGCATAAGGAGTTAATCCTCTGGAACGAATATCCATTATTCCCGGTTGACTTCGACTAGTTTGTCCTTGTGAAAGAAATCTAGAAAATATAGCTGCAGTTAGTGCAGAATTGACAGGAGAAGGTTGATCTTCGGCTAAACTTGTTAACATAGTCCATACAAGTGCATTCGCTTCTGGACCAGAGCGATTATCACGAGCATCCGTAGTAATTTGACAGCCAATTTGGCTACCACTGCTGCTGTATTCATTTGGATTATTCGAATCTGGTTCTGATTCGGCATTACATGATCTACTGAATGTGGTTGTTGGATGACGCGAACCACTACCAGAAGTTGAAGGCAAGTGAGATACAGTTGTGCCTGGAAATCGATGACGACTACCATAAGATGGCGGATATTGTTGTTGTTGTGGGATCGATGGTGGAACGTAAAATACACGATTTACCGGTGACATTGAAACAGCATCCGCAATTATTGGCCGGTTTAAACTTAGACTACTAACATCCGTAGCAAGTTGACTTCGAGACAGATTGTTAGATCCACCTGAATTAACAGTATCCGGTTCAGAATCGGTATTAAAAATTCGGCTAAATGTAGTATGATGACGTAAACCAGTAAGACCTGATGAAACATGTGATCCAGACGAACCTGTAATTCGATGGCGAGTACCATAGTGGGGAGGAACGTTTTGTGGTCGCGGTAGAACGCCAAATACACGTAAGCCACTAATGTTATTGAGAGGTGTACTATGACTGGATATTCCAGTGTTAATTGTTGAAAGGGTAGAATTAGCTCCAGTGGTAATTGGTACCTAAAAGTTATAAAAACGTGCGAAAACAGTACCAAATAGTTTAAAAAACGTTCAATAGGAAGTCAACATCTAATACATGAATACATATATATTCGAAACCTGTGAATCAGACATGAATAAGAAAATAAGGAGCATAAATGTATCAGTATATAGGTAGTAGCAAATGCTTACAGTTTAATAAGACTAATATAAGATGAAAGTAAGAAACATGGTCATCAGAACTTTCAGGAACTCTGACATAACTGGCAACTTGCACATACTGGACTCCACTGCTAACAACATTCTATCGATTATATGTTAAGATGTTAATGTGTACAAGTGAGTGATTGTCTAGGCTCAGTGAATAACGCGATAGCGCTTGAGGTTAATGTTATTCAGTTCACGTCTAAGAGTGAACATCAAGTCTGAAGCGTACGAATATCTAGCTGACGAATCCGAAATATGACGAAACATGAGTTTATGGATTCCAGTGCAAGACATATTCTATCATATCTATGAAGGGATTCAATTTTAATGACTTATGACAGATTTTTTGTGAATCAGATCGAAAAAAATCATGTAGGCATATATACATATATATATTGAAACATACCTGAAGTAAAGGATGTTGATTTGCTAAAGTAGCAGCTGGTAATATTTGAGCAGATTGAGAAGTATTAGGAGCTAATTGACTATTTGAAGAATAAACAAAATTCACACCAGATCCTAAACGTGTTGCATTATTTCCACCGACAAATACCGATGCTTCAGGACCAAAACGGAATATAGTAGTACTTGTTGGTAGATTAGAATCACCATCAATAGGAATGTGTCGGGAACTTTGACGAGCAATTAAATTCGTAAAAGCCGGTAGAAGATAATCCCAATTACCGGAAGAACCTCCTCGTGAGTGAACATTTAAAGCTGATAAACTATTTGTTCCAAGTTCTCTTAAACCATTCGATGAGATTACATTCAAAGGTGGAGCAACTACTCGACGGAGAGTTTCTTCGACTACAGCTGCAACTGAATGGCTTCCATGAGAACCACGATTATCAGTGGGAAAGATAACACCAGGTAAGTCAGAAGAAATAATTGCCACATCATCCCGTGTGGTATCATCATCATCATCATCTCTACCAAACGTATCTATATCATCATCATCACCAAAGCTACCATCATCTTCCACATGAGTATCATCATGAAGTACAATATCAGCACCTTCAGTATGCAAGTTTCCGTCATCGTCATGAGATTCAGCATTTTGATTACGATCACTATTGGCTCGGCTAGTTGTCACAGTAACAGAAATGGAAGCGTTTGGTCGACGACGACGACGTGGACTAGACAAACCGGAAGGTCGAGTACGATTAACATGTCTACGACTTCTACTAAGAACAAAAGCAACCTCTTCATCTTCACCACTGACATCAACATCACCGTCATCACCTTCAACATCTGGATCATTTTCGGCGTCTTCATCGTCCTGATCATCATCCTCACCGTCGTCATCATCATCATCTTCTTCTTCTTCATCTTCTCCAAGGACATCGTCGTCGTCTTCCTCCTCCTCCTCCTCTTCGTCATCTTCATCTTCTTCTTGACTATTATTACCTTCAGCACCTTGACCGGAACTTCCTTCATCTTCATCATCATAAACAAATATCACAGATCGAGTTTCTTGATCACCATTCCCTACACTACGCCAAGGTTGATGATGAACAACATTTTCATTATGATGATCAGAATTAATAACCATATCCGCCTGTGCTGCTAAAACATCATTCAATACACGATTAAGACTTGAAGAAGCACTACCACCTTGTGTAGTAGTACTAGATAAAATTAAACTAGGTCTATCAAAAGTTGACTCAACATCATTACGTACAGGATGTGAAAATTCTTGTTGATCAGACATTGTCACATCATCGTCATCATCATCATCATCAGAATCAGTTTCAAAATCTCTTGAAGTATTAGTAGCATGATCTGAACCAGGTATTGTAGAAGATGATGATATATTAGTTGTGCCCTGATCTAACGACACATCAGTTCTTTGTTCCGATGATGATATTGTCTGAAGCATTGCATTTTGTGATATAGAATCAGTAATGATTGAAGATGATGTTTCAGCACTATTTGTTGGTCGCATTTCTATATCACCTGATTCATCATTTGAAACTACTGATGTAGCAACATGATTAACTTGTCTCCCAGTGGAATTATTATTCGTTAATCGTTTCGCTTGAGAATTAAATTTAGTATATTGACGATCCACTAGAGTTAAACTTTCTAAAGCATGTAACATAATACTAATAGTGAATTGTGTATTCGGTAGATTGTAATCAACAACAGCAATTAATTTAGCTATATCTGCTGGTATTCTACGTTTATACAATAAACGTAAAACTCGATTAATCAATGGAGATGGCAGTGAAAGAATTCGCATTAAAAACATCATATGCGATGCAATACGATCATTTTTTAATGGTGAAATAATTTCAGTCTTTGTGTTGTTGTCATCTGATGATACAATAGGATAATGTCTATTAGCAACACGACCAAGTGATGCTTTAAATTCACTTATAATCACGCCTTGAATAGATTCACTACTAATAAGGATTAAATTTTTCAATAATGACATAGTAGATTCCGCTGTATCTGAATCATTTAACTGATGACTGAATAAATAGGAAATAAAAGAACATTTTGGCGGTAGTACATCGATGTTTGATTTGCCAGTTATTGTTGTATTATTAGTATGCTCCATAGAATGTTTATGTTTATACATGGCGACAAATTCACCGACAGATTTATAAGCACCAACTAAATCGATTAGGTAACGCATTGCATCTAATTTGCCTAAAACTACAAAATCTGTCTGTTTGTTCAATTCACTGCTACGTGTTAAATGAGTTGTCGAGTTTTCCGTTGATATGTGATAATCTGGACGATTAGCAGACTGTGTAGTTGTGGTACCAGTTCCCCAAATCATAGTTCCGGTATTAGATAATGGCGGTTGTATAGACTCTGTGGTAACACTATCATTTCTAGGTGATTCAAATTCCTGTAAGAAAAGATAATGAATTTAAACAATGTTTACTACCATACTACATACAGTATAATTGGAAATTGACGCGTCAGTTTGGAAATTCGAAATACCGTGAAACTTATGGAAAAAAAATATTTAACAAAAATTAAAAAGAAAAGTGTCGATGAATCCGTTAAAAAAAAACTACTGTGCAAACATGAAAATTAAGTGGACAATAAGTACTCGATTTTTATTGAATTGTACAATCAAGCTATCATGATCGTTACATCGAAAAGAACTCTCTATTAGCATTAGGAATCATGGAATAACATGAAAAGTAATAAGTGATTGTGAAGAATAGAGTTGTAGGCTACTCAAGAAACAGTTGAGGAGATAACCATTGTTAGACAAACATTAAAAGCATGGAAGCACTGAACAGCTGTTTCGTCCTAGTATGGGACTCATCAGCAGACCATATTCATGGCTTCTGCTTAGGAGAATGAAACCTAGGACCTTCGGACTAGCACGGGAAAGTTCAACCTCTGGACCACTGAGCCATGCATCTAACGGCGTTGATGTCTAACTATGATCAATCCACAGTCTTGAACAACCTCATCCAGTGTCTTTGGTAGTTACTGCTTACACCCGACGGTGTTGAAACTCACTGGTCACGGCTTTTCACTAGAACTTCCAGAATTTCTTCAAAAAGCTATTCACTAGTGAGCACATTTTAAGACATTTAATGTAGAGTTATGGAGAATGTTGTTTTTCATTTCAAATCATAAATCCATTATTATACTGAAACGAAATGGCCGTCGAATGCTTCCGGATTTCTAATGGCTTTTTAACTATTATTGTGAATGACTCTCCAATTACATATACCTGAATGAGACAGTCTTGTGTGCTGTTACGGGTATGAGGGCGGTTGTCACTTCCCGATTGCCCACACTGTCGAAGGTTGTTTCTTGAGGGACCTGAAAAGGAAGATATATTAGTGTTGGTCTTGGAGACAGGGGAGCGTGACCACAGAGCCCAAGGGACTACTGCTTGAGGCCGGTCACGTACGGCCATTTTATGAGAAGTTTTTTGAGTGTCAGCTTCGCTCTTGAAAGCCCTTAGTGGGCACCCTTACCCAAGGAGACGGAAATCCGTGAGTTAGGGGGAGTGTGACATTTTTAGGATCGACCTTTTCTAACCCTTCCTTCCTTGTGAGAAGGCAGCATCGCTGCAGATGCTGGTTGTCTGAGGGAAACACCTTACTGCTGTCACACCCCTCTACAGTCAGCAGTACGATTTCGCCCTCAGATCTTGAGTAGCTGCTTTTAGTCTCATCGTTCTCCAACAGACTTGCCTGGCAAGGTAGAACCTTCAGGAACATACGTTCCAGCCAATATAGCTCAGTTGGGTCATCACGATAGGCAAGCCCGACCACCACGTCAAGGTAGCAGCTTCGGTCGGGACTTGAATGAGACAAGTGGACTAGATTCATCACATCACTGAAATAAAATAATAACAATAATTTTGTATGAGTTAAAAGATAGCTAATGAATGATTTTAATGATCACAGCATAAAAAAAATTGTGTTACGTGTCTAGGAGACTTACGTCTACATGATGTAGACCAGTGACATAATGATTTCCTTTGGATTTCCAACTGGAACACATAATCAAATCCATTAGTTGAGCAAGTAAATGCTTTTGACGTGAACTAAGCGGGAATGATATCATTGAAGACCGGTCAGTGGAAACATCAACACCAGTAGGAGTTGATTCTTCAACAATATATGTTTTTGGATAAATTTTACCTGGAAAATGAACAGTAAGAATTTCGAGTAAGAATAAGAAAAATAAGAAAACGACTTTTAACAATAAACAAAAACAAATCTTCACACAATTATATTACATACGAAATGTTTCTATAATATTAATACTCTTTGATCGAATCATACCGTTCCATTTATTAAGAGACATTTGTAGGAAGGATTTGATTGTGACCCATTTGGTGTCGTGTGCTGTTATGAGTATGAAGGTGGACGGCACTTCACGGTTGCCCACACTGAGGGTGTTTCTTGGGGAACATGAAAAAAAACTTGGATTAGTGTTGGTCTTAGCTACCTGGGAGCGTGACCGCACAGTCCAACGCAGAACTGCTTGAGGCCGGTCACGCACAGCATTTCCATGGGAGATTTCGGAAGTGTTACTTCCGCTCTTTTTTAAAAGGTCCTTACCATCGGAAACGGAAATCCGTGAGGTAAGGTGAGGCGTGACATTTCTACGGTCGACATTTTCTAACCCTTCATACCTTGTGAGAACGCAGAATCGCTGCAGAAGCTGATAGTCCGAGGGAAACATCTTACTGCTGTCACACCTATCTACAGCCAGCAGTACGACTTCACCTTCAGACCCTAAGACGCTACTTTTAGTCTTCCTGTTCTCCAAACGACTTGCCTGGCATGGTAAGACTTACAAGAACACGTTCCAGCCAGTATAGCTCGATTGGATGATCACGTTAGGTAAACCAAACCACCACGTCATGGTAGTAACTAGGTTCGGGAACGAGAATTTTTATTAATTACTGTAATGATATTTGACTGTAAAATAGATTTCTATGCAAAGTGTGAAGTATTTCTCAGCTTAGATAAATGTACATAATAAATGCTATGTCAATACAACTCAGTAAATGTGTGTATACTGGATAGACAATAATATGGTCAACAAATTATCCACTTAGATAGCTGCATCCGTTACAACTATCAGATCAATACTGGATCAAGTGACTCAATAATAGGAAACAGAATTCTCAGGACCAGTAAAAACCTGTCATATGATACGTGTGTCAACTGAAATAACCCTGAATGTATTTACAAATTAACTAACTCGTTATTAGGTCAAATTAGTCAGAATCTCTCTTCACAGTTAAACAAATTTAAAATGTAGCTAAGCTCGATTCCACCTAGTCGATAATTTAAGGACCAGTGAAAACATGACATTCGATTACTGTGTGTGTCAACTGGAATAACGCTAAATCTATCCAAAAATGAACTAGCTCTATTCAAATAATCATGTCCAGTGTACTACTACTAGGTTATAAATCAATCAACAAACATATCAGAATCTCTTGTCATAATTAAAATAAATTAAAAACGTAGCTAAGCTCGATTCCACCTAGTCTCTAATTTAAGGAGAGAGGAATCGAGATAATAGAAAACCGCCATGTTCAGTTTCTTATCTAAAAAAATAAATTGTATACAATCAGAGTAAGAATATTTTTTTTAATGACACCACCCAAAAAAAACTGTTATTCAATCAATGATTTACTTTGAATATCACTATCTGACAAAGATAAACTAAATGTTTCCGTAATTAATCTAACTGCTCGTTCACGATCTTTTGCAAGTAATGGTGTACATAAACTCAACAGATAGAATAAATCACGACAAGCTCTAGGCCCAGCATCAATTCCCATAAATACATTAGGCATACCAGATCTGGACATACGAATGAATATCTCTTTTAATATTCTATCAATTGTTGAAGTATCATCAAAAATCTAACAATGGGAAAATGAAAAATAAAAAATGATATTAATTATATATACATATGTATAGCAAAGTTATTGGATATTTTTTAATAGTAGGATTTAATTAGAGATTGAGGGTATATACAGGACTTTATAGATGATTACGAAGAATATTTGGTCGTGTATATGACTTGAAAGTATTGTTTGCATATATTGAATGTAGTTGTTACGAATGCACGTAAACATATCAATTTGATATGCTTGAACTATTACGAGTTTACATTAGTCGGAAAACGAGAGCGCGAGGATCGAGGATCCGGAGACACGACATGCTACTCTAATCCGAGTGTCCCAACTCCCCATTGAGTGAAAGAAGAAGACTTGATATGAAGTAGAACCATAAAACACGAGGTCCGAGTCCAGAAGAAGATACGAATCGCGGACTAAGGATCCGGGTTCAGGTCACAAAACGTTACAGATAATAAGTATTCATACAATTATGTTGAACAGGAAACAACATTGAAGTACGTGACATTGATAGCTAGGACTACCATAATATTGACCAACAGGAATCAACCAATAGAATTTACACTTACAAAATGATTCTTCGAAGGATATTTGGTGAATATCCTAACGGTAGTAGAGTACTAAGAAAAGCTATTTGATCAGTTGATAGTGTATTGAATCATTACAGAATGAGGTAGGGGTCAAATGAGTACTACATATATGTGACTATCGCCTAGTTCGATGTGTGGTAGTTGACTTCAGTACAAGCAGGTTCTGATGCTGATGGATGTTTTATGTAAGGCTGATAAGAAGTAATTCATCATATGATCATGTTGGGGACGTCAGATCCCTAGAACTGATCAGATGACCTTGAGACTTCATTTCCCACCCGGAAAATCCTTGACTGTTATTGGTTGACGTATTGGCACGCTATTTTTGCGGCTCTCTCAAAGACGTTTCTATCATTGAATAAATAAACTTGATTTGTGTGTTTGTCAACCTCATATTTTCTGGGTGTGTATAGAATACACATTCTACGCCTTATCCAGACTTCTTGATAGATAGTTAGGCGGGCCGGAGACAAACGGATTAAAATAGCCTATCATATCACTGGATCATTTCTCTTCGCTCTCGTTGACCGACTAAGGTGAACTCGTAATAGTTCAAGCATATCAATTTGAAGAGTATAACAAATCACATACATGAATGATATACAGTTTTTTTGTAACAGACAGTTACACACCTATCAAACAAGTAAGCAAAATTTGTAATTTCAGGAAAGAGAAAAAAAGTACTCACTTCAGATATTAACGCACCAACAAAAGAAGAGAATTCCGGTGAAAATTCTCGTGTATGCGGATAAGAAAATAACATGGTCAATATATCAGCTTCAGCTAATTCGGTGGCATTTTCATAACTTGTAAAACATAAACGTAACATTAATCTGAACATTGCATTTAAACAATCTGATGGGATTGGTGATAACTGGGTAGCATCATCATCGGCAGCAACAGCAGCAGTTACTTGACTTTTCATCAAATGAGATTGATCAGATGTGGTGGATTTTTTTAATGCAACACGAAAATGTGTCAATAATGCATGGCATAGTTTTGAACGTTCTATTGAATTTAAACATTCTGGCAATGTGGTATTGATTAGACCTAATTCATAGGGTGTCACTAAGTAGAAAAAAAAAATAAAATAAAATAAAATAAATAATTTAAGTAATGACCAATAAGAGTTGATGTGAAAAATTCCGTCGGCATACTTGAAATCTTAAATGTACATACAATATGATATAGTACACAAAGATTCACTACATGGTAGATATTGAATAGATAATACTCATTAGTATTAATGCACTGTGGGAGCGAACAAACCAGGTTCCAGTGGAGGAGGAAATCAGGAAAAAGTGGTGGAAGTGGATAGGACACAGTTCGAAAAGCATCGAACTGCGTCACGAGACAAGCCCTCACATGGAACCCTCAAGGCAGAAGGAAAAGAGGAAGGTCAAGGAACACATTACGCCGAGAAATAGAGAAAGATATGAGAGGAATGAACAAACATTGTACAGAACTGTAGAGGGAAGCCGAGGACAGAGTTGGTTGGAGAAAACTAGTGGGCGGCCTATGCTCCATTGGGGGTAACAGGCGTAAGTAAGTAAGTAAGTACACATTGTTAAATTAGAATTTATACTACTTATTAATTTTTGACTTGTCTTTTTTTAAATATTAAGTAATATAATGAAAAACTCCACCAATGGAGCCCTTCTAGGGTTACTGCCAGTTTCAAGTCCGGATAAAGGAGGGTTGGAGATGGGATTAGCGACATCAACCCGTAGAAATCGAACCCCCCCAAAAAAAAACGCTAAAGCCGATGCTCCATTAAGGGTTAGAAGCGTAAGTAATTGTTGGGGACATTAGATCCCAGAATTCATTTGATTAAGGTCCTAATTTTGGATTATATATTTTCGGGCGTGGGCTGATCAGTTGACCTTCAGATTAGATTTCCCACTTGGAAAAGCCTCGACTGTTATTGGTTAATGTTATTTTAGTACGCTATTTTTGTGGCTCTCCCAAAGATGCTTCTATGAGGTATAAATAAACTCAATTTGTGTGCTTGTCAACCTCGGTTTTCTAGATGCTTGCAGAATACACATTCTACGTCTTGTCAAGACTTTTTCTCTTCTTAGTGAGGCATTGGGACGCTCGGATTAGAGTAGCCTATCGTGTCACTGGATCATATGTCTTCACTCACATTCACCGACTAAGGTGAACTCGTAATAGCAATCAACCATATCAATTGACAAGCATGTCAGTAATAAAGTAATATAATAAAACATGGATGAGTACATTCTTAAATAGTTTAATTGGTTCATACATCAGTGACGTCACAATAAGAAAAAAACAAACTGTGGTTATTATATTCACAAATTATATCACTTACTTTGTGTGGCCAACACTTCATGATCAATTTCTGTATTATCAGTAAAAGATGGGAAAAGCATAACTGGACGTCTATGCATACTGACAAGATTAATCTGTGTCATTGTTGGAAATTCAATGGTATATGGTCGACGACCAATATCACAACATGCGCATAAATCACCTTTATGAAAACTTTTGTCAATAATTCGCATACTTTCATTTGCATAAGGATGCCAAAGCATAGCTTGATTATCAAACCAATGCCAATTATGTGAGGAAGCATATAATTTGACACATTCTTGACGTAAACGTAAAGCCTTTTAAACAGCCAAAAAACAAACAAATACAATTGTCATTACATCATATTCAGTCAACAACAACAACGTAGAACTTCGTAGATACTTATGTACATCAGTTTAAGTTGCAATACCACGATAGCACACAAGTGCAATTGTCAATTCAAATCCCACAGTGGGAGAGGTAACAGAAGTATGTGCAGTAATCGAAGTTTAATCCAGTGAAATAAATTTGAAGACAGGAAGATCAAAGTCACGAAGAGTTCAGAGAAGAATGGATACACATGCGTCATTGCAAACTATTTTGAGCCATATATCGTCCAAACACTCTAAACATCGTTTATTAATGTCTCAGGTACACCAACCAAGTAGTCGACACCTACCAACACGGCTCCGTCCACTTGTCAGTAACTTTATGGATTTGTGCCATATTTTGGTCTGGCCGTCCCTAGCGATTATTACATCATAACACAATTACATAATATCAATATAAACACATATTCTATGCATCTTGACATGAACTTTTCGAATGATAGATAAAATTACCATAAGTTAAAAGTGATTGGTTTGATCATCACTTCACTGAACAACCAGATCACAAGAACAAAAGCGTAGTTTTTAAAAAAAATATAGAATTAACTACGCATTTCAAAAATACACTAAATACACCTATTGCACATATTTCTATCCCGTTCGGGGGAACGAATGTAGGAAAGTTTTAGTCAGTCAGTTAGTCAGTCAGTTACAACTGACTGGACACGACCACTACGTCAAAAGTAACAACTACGGACGGGAGGAAAGTTTTAAGAAATTAAGAAAGTGATTGGAAAGTCAATAACCACAATTCAAGTTACAAGAGACAGTCAGTCAGTCAGTCAGATGCAACGTAGAACTTCGTACGTAAGTACATCATCAGTTCATGTCGCCATACCACATCAGCACAGAGATGTAATTGTCAATTCAAATCCCACAATAGTAGTAGAAGAGGTAGTAAAGGTATTAGAAGTAATCGGAGAGGTTAGGATTAGAAGATAATATTCAAGAAGTATGATTAAATGAGAAAAGTTTAGAAAGTCTAAACTAGAAGTGTTGAAGAATGCAGAAGATTAGGATTTGAGAGAACACAAAGAATAAATGCACCGGCGCCATTGCGAACGATTTTGAGCCATGTCATTCACGGTAGGAAAATGTCATCGGCATATTCTAAGTCAATAAGCGAGCCACCTGGTAAAAGGTCTACTCCTGAAAATTCAGACGAGGATAAGGTTATTTCTAGGAGCATATCTATGATAAAATTAAACAAAAATGATGAAAGTGGACATCCCTGACGGACACCACTTGAAGTGAAGAATTCCGGTGACAGTTCGCCATAAGCTCTCATTCGACCAGTGATGTTCGAGTAAAGAGCTTGTATGAGGTTAATGTACTTCTTTGGTACACCTTTCAATGACAGACACTGCCACAGAACCTCACGATCCACTGAGTCAAATGCCGCCTTAAGGTCCAGGAAAACAACTATTGTAGGACGCCTAAATGGGTGTCTATGTTCCAGGACCTGTCGTAGTGTGAAGACGTGGTCTATACAACCAAGTCCAGGTCGAAAACCAGCCTGGTTTTCTTGAGTTTGCTCTTCATGAGCTTTCGTTAAGCGTCGAAGTATTATTGAGGCCAATATTTTAGATACTATATTAGTTAGGCTTACTACCAAGGTATTGAATGCAAGTTTATAACAAGTACACTGACGCAAATCTCATTTCAAAGGCTAACAATAACCAATGATTAATCGCGAAAATTATTATTATTATTATTATTATTATTATTCAAAAAACATACTTGTATACTTCGTTCATATTGATCTAAAACAAGAAATGCTAATGTTAATGTTTTATAATAATCTGATTCTGAAATAACATTTGAATGATACGGCGCATTTGTAGGGAATTCATCCACTTCCATTTGAGTAACATTATTACCCCCACTAGTACTATTATCACTACTAGTGGTAGTAGTAGTAGTTGCCTGTGGTGGTGATGGTGTAGTTAATTTATTTGGTATATCACAATCCGATACAAATTGTATTAATACACTTGGTAATTTATGTGTCCATGCTAAACAAGCACAAACTAATGGAGATCTAGTAAATAACAGCGCGATTAAATGTAATCCAACTGTTTGATGTTCTTTTTCATGTATTATAACAAATTCATGATTTTCTGCATTTTCTGATTTATGATAAGTTTGATGAGTAGGTGAAACGTTAAGATATGTTTTAAGATGTGTTGTAACTACATCAAATAATTCATCAATATAACGTTCATGTTCACCATTCGATATAAATAATTCAGCAATTTGATGAAGAATCTATAATTAACAAAACATAAAAATAATAACATTGGTAAATAATAATCGTAAATTTTAGTTAGTTACAACGTAGAATTTCGTACGTACATCAGTTCAAGTTGCCATACCGCAGTATTAGCACAAACATGCAACTATTCACTTCAAATCCCATAGTGATAGCGATAGTATAAGTATTAGCAGTAATCGGAGAATAGGATTCGAGACGTCATTAGCAGTACGAGGTGATAAAGGAATGTGAGAAGAGTTAGTCTTGGAGAAATGAGAGATGTTAGGGAGGGGTGTAGGAAGGATTTGTTTGTGACCAAGTTGGTCTCATGTGTTGTTACGGGTATGAGGGCGGTTGTCACTTCACAGCTGCCCACACCGTGGAGGAATAATAATAATAATAATAATATTTACAAACCATCTATCTTTAATGAAAATGAACATGTGATTGCAGTAGTCACTGGTCCATAGTTAAAAGACATGACAGATAAACTCTAACGATATCAAGATTAAGGCATCATTATCTGAAGATTCCCATTTCCAAAACAAGTAGATCCGTGGTAACGCAACAGATCGCTTTGTCCTACTTAATGACTGCGAAACATGGCCAATCACAGTAGAAGACATTCATAGGTTACTAGTTATCGATCATAGGTGCCTCCGAAGTATTTCTCGTTTATCGTGGGACAACCGAATAGGCAATGCTGTGGTTAGGAAACGGGTGCTAGGTAAGAATGGCAGATCAATAGATGAAATGGTGAACCTTCATCAGTTGAGGTGGTTGGGACATGTGTTGCATATACCTAACCACCAACTGCCTCGACGAGCTATGTTTTGTGGTGTAGGAGTAGGTTGGGGACCACGAAATGATGGTAATCGATGGTTAGCGACTTTGAATGACATGGCCCAAAACCGTTTGCAATGGGGCAAATGCATTCATTCATTGTGTACTCTCAAATCCTAACCTCCTGAACTCCTCATCATCTTTATCTTTTACATTTCAAGTTTTTATACTAGATTTGACTTCTTGAATAATATCGTTGAACCCTAATCTCGCCGATTACTGCTAATACTTCTATTACCACTAGTATTATGGGATTTGAAGTGACAATTGCATCTGTGTTAGTGGTACGGCAACTTGGACTGATTTTTCTGTTTAGCATTTTATAACGAGGTTGGAGAATACTGGTTAGCGGCCTATGCTACATTGGCGGTGACTGGAGAAAGTAAGTAAGTAGCTTAAACGACGTTCTACGTTGTTGAGTGATTGACTGACTGGTAGCCTTCGTTCACGTATTTTCAGTCTTCGGAACACTTTGATCGCATCATACATTCGGAACCGAGACTCTTCACTTAAACAGTAACTTTCTGGACGTCACTTAGCTGCATACTTACTCATTCGCTACGTTGCTAGCAGTATCCACCTAGAATAGGATTGGTTGTACAAACGCTAAGAATAGACTGTGTTTGAAAACGTAAGCCAATTACATGACAAACAAAAGATTTCGAGCTCAAACACTCGCATGGAAGTTTATAAATCACTCTGATTATGAGTAGTGGGTACACAGAATGAAAGATCTCAAACAGGAAATGATTGCATAATGCTTTATAGTTTGCAATTCTCCCTTTAGATGAATGCAATCTGTGGTAAGAAGGTATCTTCAAAGTTGGACAATATCTAAAATGACCGTAGCGGAATGGTTAACGTATGTTGATCTGTGAACAATGAAAACTTATTCATTATTACGGACCTTTAAATAAGTAACCCGGGGGGGGGGAACGTAAACACTTAAGCACTTAACTGAACAATGGTTAATTAATCATCAATACAAAATGAACACACACCTACTAACTAACTAACTAACCTGATAAGATTGATGACGTTTAGCAATAGCATAACATGTTTTGAAAACATTTTGTTTCAATGATTCCCGTGCTTCATTATACGTTTTCTCATTACATAATTCCATCATAACCAATGGAAATTTCGATAGATTCGATCGTTTCGCAGTGGAAATATTCTCGTTGTTATTATTATTATTGTTAGAAGATGAAGTGATGGTGATTTCGTGTGAAGGTAAACTAGAACAATCTGGATTGATTAAAGTGTCCATTTGTTCATTAGGGTTAAACTATTTATTTGAACGAAAAAAAAAACAAACAAAGATGTTTACACAATGAATAAAGCTTAGTTTATAACTTGAAACAAAATGAGTACAGATTGAACTCATTTAAAAATCGCACACAAACACCAGACAGATACAACGCAGAACTTCGTACTTAAGTGCATCAGTTCAGGTTGCCATTACCACATCAGCACAGATATGTGACTGTCAGTTCAAATCCAAAAGTGATAGCGATAGTAGAAGTATTAGCAGTAATGGAGAAGATTAGGGAGCGAAGATATGATTCGAGAAGTATAATTCAGTAAGATAAATTTAGATGGAGAAAGATAGAGATGATAAGGAATTCAGAAGGTTAGAATTAAAAAGCACACAAACAGTGGATGCACCTGCGCCATTGCAAACCGTTTTGAGCCATGTCGTTCGTCTCTAACCATTAGTAACTTTCGTATCGCGGACCCCAACCAGTTAGCCTACATCTACCAACATGACTCAGTCCACTCGTCAATGACTTCATGTATTTCTGCCATGTTTTGGACAGGCCGCCCTAGCTTTCTTCCAACCTACTCCTACACCACAAAACACAGCTTGTCGAGGCAGTCAGTGGTTAGGCATGCGTAACACATGTCCCAACTACACTAACTGATGAAGTTTCACTACTTCATCTATTGATTTGCCATCCTTACCTAGCACCCGGTTCCTAAAGACAGCATTGCACACAGACACCATCTAAATATATAACAACTGTGGATGATATAACCTAGGAAATAATATGCTTTGTTCAGTCTATGTTTGTTCTGTTAAGACTACTTGCTAACATAGAAATGTCATCATCTAAGGGAAAAATTATATTAAGAATGTATATCTGATTTTAAACAACATGTACGTTGTGTGTGTGCTTTTTTCTTCCAGGTACGCGGTCAATAAAAAAACATGAGTTGTGCAATCCAGAGATAAATTTAAAAAAAAGCTTAGAGGTCAGAACACAAGATACATGTGCCAATCTAAATGACACGATAACATCATGTGAAGAGAAAAAACAATGCATATACACTATAAATGTTAACATATTCATAGAATCATTATAATTAAAAAATTTAGGATTTATTTGTTTCATCATTGAAGAATAGTTAGTTGTACGTGGAGAATAGCCCCGAAGGAAAGTTCGTTCTCGACACTCTCTTCAAATAATTTCTTCATATATCTATGAGTGTGATAGTCACTGTGGGGGGGGGGGGAAATCTTAATCACTGACTCTTTGCAACAAGAGAGTTAGTTGTATACCCAAATTCAGAGTACTAAATCGGAAAACATTGGATTTAAGCTTATTGTACACATAGACTCCAGAATCATGAGGGACACAAGTGAAGGATGGATCGATTCTCAGTCATAGGTTATCATGAGACTCCAATCTCCAATTGTTTTCCCATAACCTTATCGATCTGTAGGTTAAAAAAACGGCTTTAGAAATGGCCGCCAAATATACCATCCGCTTCGGTTTGAACACCGGGGACAGTAACTCACCCTACACACACACACAAATTGAACGATTTGTGTAGTGCATATATATTTAGGTACCCTGTTTGTAGCAATAATAATAGTAATAACAAACACAAAAATGCTTACATTATCAATAAATTCTGTTAAATGATCATAAACATCCGTTTGATATTGTGAATTATCAACATCCGTAATTAATGGACTAGATTCATTGGTGGTGGTGGTGGTGGTTGTTGTATTACCACCACCAGCTACAAATGTTCGTCGACGTTGAGCTCTACGTGATGCTCTACCTCTTCGTAAACCAGATATTAAAGAAGGATTAGCATTTTGCATAAGATCATGTGCAGAAGTTGCTATGACAAGATTTACCGCTTCATTAGCATTCCATCCAGTTTGCTGTTGTTGTTTTTTTTTATCAGGAGAATAAGAAAAAAAAATGTAATGCAGTTAGAAAATAATTCAAATAATTATGCTATTTAGTTAATAGACAAATACTAGTCCAACTCTACACTGATATATGCATATAGATGTTCCCATACACGAATGTTATGATACAAGTGACAGTAACCAGCCGTTGTTTATAACTACTGCCATGGAAGTCATACTAATCCGTTTTTATGAATGTGAGAGAATGAAAGGTGGATGAACATTGCTTAAACCGGATTTTTGAAAAACTAGAAAACCTTGATTACAAACTAATAGTGAACACAGACTCCAAGATTTTGATGGAGGGAATAGCGTGTGAACTTAATTTTTGGTCGTTGGTTACGATGGGATTGGATTCATTGTCTTATGGTTTAGACATTTAGGTCAAACGTTCAGTGAATAAGTTCCTGACAAAATAACTTGCCCCGGTTCTGGAGCCTGGGTAATTTCCTAGTACTCACACAAATATAACAATTGATAATAAAGAAGCGATCGATATATTTACTCAAATAAATAAACCGATTGCGAGGTTAATAGGAACCAAAAATTAAATATAGTATGTCAGTCAGCTACAGCATCGAACTTAGTACGTACGAACATCACTTCTACTTGTCATACCACCACATTACCACAGACAGATCGAATTGTCACTTCCAATCTCATAATGGTAGAGATTGTAGCAGGATTAGCGGTAATCCGAAAGATTACAGGTTGAAGATATCATTCACAAAGTATGTCCAAGAGGAAAACTTTTAAAGAATTACGGTAAATTCCAGAATCTACAATTTAGAGGAAGACAAAGAATGGATTCATCTGCGCCATCTCAAACGATTTGCAGGCGTGTCATTCAACGTTTCTAACCACCGCTTACCAATATCTCGCGGACCCCAATCCATGTTTTGGTGTGGTCATACTTATCTTTCTTCCACCCTACCCAAACATCAAACAGCAACGCTCGTCATGGCGGTCGGTCGGCTATTAGGCATACATAACACTTGTCTCAATCACCCCAACTGATGAACATATGCTACACTATCGCAACTGATCTACCATCCTTACAGTTAGTGGGACATAAATGGAATTAAAGCATGACTAAGTTGCTGCGCGCTGATTGGCTAATTTCCTATCCAATCAGCGCCTGATCGAATCTTGGAAAACAGGGTAGAAGATTCTCGTATTGTTAGCCGCGTGCTGATTGGTTAAATCTAATCCATTCGATCACGTGAAATTCTATCCAGAAGCTTTCTCATGTAAATGCTACAAATAGACTAACGTTGTATCGATTTTTGCCTTCTTGCCTTCGCCTTCGCCATCACCTTTGGCTTCTTATTTCCATTTAACCTTGCTATTTTGGAATATAATCTTTTCCTGTTCAACCGTGTTTTTGATTCTTGGGAACTTGTCCAGTGTATTGTGGTCAGAGAATACTAAGCAATAGGATTTAGCCGGGAATTATCTACGTAAGCGTTACAACACTTACCTAGTACCCTTTTTCTAACAACAACACTGGTTACTCCACAATCTCAGGGTACACGTGCAACGTTTCAAAGACACTTATGATCGGATACTAGTAACTTGGAACGGAGAGAACTATTGCACAGAAAACTAGTCCTTCGCCTACGCCATAAGTAATGCAAGTTGCCGAAAGCCAGTCGACGCTTCTGTATTCGTACCATTTTATTAACAATCTATTAACCTCAATCACACACTAAAACCCTTACCTCTAAAGCAACAATAGCTAAATCACGAGCAAAACCCATTTCTTCCATAAGTTGTAAAGCGTCCGCATCACGTATCACATCATCAGATGAAACATTAGCCTCAACATCAAAATACATATTGACTGGTGTATTATTATCAATGGCATTGGATTGATTCGCTGATTGATGATCCACTACTGAGAGTGATGTAACATCAGGAGTAGCAGTAGCAGCAGCAGCAGTAGTAGTGGTAGTCGTGGCAGTATTCGTAGACAGATCTTGAGCAATTGCGGTAGACTGGTGAAAATGAGATTAAAAAGAAAGAAATTTACGTTTAATCAATAACAAATAGTTGAATTTCTACAAATGATTTAAGAATAATAACAATAATAATAATATTAATAATTTTAGACAGTATGAGCTAATAATTTCACAGTTATTAATGAATGATAGTTCAGGGTAATTCTATATATAGTAAGGAAAGGAATGATACATTCAAATGATACTACGATTAATGAAGTAGTTGTTAGTTTCATTAAAACAGAACCTCTACATAGAAAAATATAAGACATCATTTAGTTAAACTGTAACCGATTTATTCATACATAAAAGTGTAAACATTTTGATAACACCGTTGGATACCAGCCCAGTGGTCCAGAGGTTAAGCATTCGCACTCAAAACTGAAGGTCCAGGGTTTGAATCCTATGAGGTGCATAATTCGTGAATGCGCACTGCTGATGAGTCCCATACCAGGATGAAACGGCAATCTTTCAGTGCTTCCAGGTTTCTAATGGTGGTCTAACAACAAATTTTCTTGAAATAAATATCGACTAATGATAAACATAGAGTTAACGAGTTTGTAACAAATATTCATGTAAATGGGGATAGTTTTAAAAATGGATATATATATGCTTTACAATGAATGTTCAACATCACTGATGAAAGCTTACATAATAATAGTAATAATGCAACTTATTGTTAGAAGTATAACAGAACATATTCTGAGACCTAAATTACATAGAATCTCTAGTTATTATTAGATATGTAGCCACGCATACACTTATATAGGAGAGTTGATTGTGTGAAAAGTTCCAAGGCCTAAACAACTAAAATGCTCTGTAAATAAACAAATATGTAAACAGTCTACTGTGGCAAAGGACAAATCAGATTCCAGCGTAGGAAGAAATCAAGAAGAAGCGCTGGGAAGTGGATAGGGCACACATTGAGAAAAGTATCCAACTGTGTCACATGACAAACACTCAATTGGAATCCTCAGGAATCAAAGGTAAAGAGGAAGACCAAAGAGCACATTATTCCGACAATTGGAAGCAGACATGAAAAGAATGAAGAAAAATTGGATAAAACTTAGAAGAAAGGCTCATAACAGAGTAGGTTGGAGAATGCTGATCGACGGTCTATGTTTCAATGGGGGTAGTAACAGGAGCGTAAGTAAGTAAACAAACAAATAGCCACTAAGTGATGAGAAGTCAGAGTAGACTATCACTTTCAATTGCGCGCCAAAAAGTTCGAATATTCAGATGAATATTATCATTAATCCTACATTATCCAAATCCTAAAGCGAGGTTATATATTAAAATGTTTGAATTGTTAACATAATGAACTATATATACATATATTACCTGTGAAGAATTATCTGTTTCTTCCAACGGTGATTCACTAGATGGGATCTGTGATTCATTTATTCTATCAGAACCGCTAACAAACATATTCGGAGTTTCTTGTGGCATAGAAGGCTGAATTGATGGTGGTGGTGTTGGTTGATGCAGTGTACTAGGATTTACTTCTATAAGATTTTCAGTGGATGGTAGATTACTTGGACGTCCAATTACAGTTTTATCCCACTGATTCATTAAAAAAGTAAAGAAATTCAAAATGAATATGTAAACAATTTCTTATATACATGAAATAGAAACGAATAACCAAAAAGGTTTATTACTGTGAAGCCCGACCGTAGCTGCTACCGTGACGTGGTGGTCGGGCTTGCCTATCGTGATGACCCAACCGAGCTATACTGGCTGGAACATACTTTCCTATATATATGTACATATATTACCTGTGAAGAATTATCTGTTTCTTCCAATGGGGATTCACTAGATGGGATTTGTGATTCATTTAATCTATCAGAACCGCTAACAAACATATTCGGAGTTTCTTGTGGCATAGAAGGCTGAATAGATGGTGGTGTTGGTGTTGTTTGATGAAGTGTACTAGGATTTACTTCTATAAGATTTTCAGTTGATGGTAGATTACTTGGACGTCCAATTACAGTTTTATCCCACTGATTAATTTTTAAACGAAAGAAATTCAAAATGAATAAGTAAACAATTTCTTATATACATGAAATAGAAACGAATAACCAAAAAGGTTTATTACTGTGAAGCCTGATCGTAGCTGCTACCGTGACGTGGTGGTCAGGCTTGCCTATCGTGATGACCCAACCGAGCTATACTGGCTGGAACATACTTTCCTATAGGTTCTACCATGCCAGCCAGGGAGGTCGATTGGAGAACGATGAGACTAAAAGCAGCTACCCAGGGTCTGAGGGCGAAATCGTACTGCTGACTGCAGAGGGGTGTGACAGCAGTAAGGTGATTCCCTCGGACAACCAGCATCTGAAACGATGCTGCCTTCTCACAAGGAAGGAAGGGTTAGAAAAGGTCGACCTTAAAAATGTCACACCTCACCCTACCTCACGAATTTCCGTCTCCGGCGGTAAGGGTGCCCACTAAGGGCTTTCAAGATCGGAGCTAAAAATCCTTTGATAAAAAGGCCGTGCGTGACCGGCCTCAAGCAGTTGTCCCTTGTACTCTGCGGTCACACACCCAGGTCGTTATGACTAACGCTAATCTACCTTCTTTTCAGGTCCCTCAAGAAACAACCTTCCATGGGGTGGGAAGCCGGTAAGTGACAACCGCCCTCATACCTGTAACAGCACACAAGACCAAATTGGTCACAATCAAATCCTTCCTACACCAACTGTGAAGAGTGATGAAAGGTGTCAGTTTTCTACAGCTTAAAACGTATGAGATGCAGTTCAATCTTAGTAATAACAATACTAATAAGAATGGGTTTTTTTTCATTCAATATTTTATGTACAGTACAATATGGAATACTGATCATGAAACAGTCTAATAATAAGTGGTTGCAGTTGAAAATAAGCAATTCAAAAAACCACATCTTATTAATGTTCATTCATTCTTCTCAGTTATATTTACGAAGATCATTATTTTTACACATTGAAATCATGAATCAATGATTGTAAGACTACCACCATTAGAAACTTGGAAGTAATGAACAGAGTGGATACACCTACACCACTGCAAACGATTTTCAGCTATGTCGTTCAAAGTCTCTATAACCATCGGTGACTTTCATCTCGCGGACCCCAACAAGTCTCAGTCCACTTGTCAGTGACTTCATGGATTTGTGCTATGTTTTGCTTTGGTCACCCTTAGCTTTCTTCCAACCTACTCCTACACCACAAAATATCGCTCATCGAGGCAGTCCAGTGCTTTCAGGAAATTGAACAGTTGTAACTGAATTGAAATAGAGTGACAATCAATCCTATATTTCAGTCGTTTTGCGACAAGACCTTGTGTATCTAAGTACTTCTGGATTGGCAAAGCAAGGGCTGCGTTTCTACAGTTGAAAAATATCTGGAACTCAAAACAACTTTCAACCAAAACCAAAATCTTGAATTTCAATACAAATGTCAAGACAGTTCTACTGTGTGGAGCGGAAACTTGGAGAACTACAAAAGCCATCATCCAGAAGATACAAGTGTTTATTAACAGCTTTCTACGCAAAATACTTCGGATTCGTTGGCCAGACACCATCAGCAACAACGAACTGTGGGAGAGAACAAACCAGATTCCAGTGGAGGAGGATATCAGGAAGAAGCGATTCAGGTGGATAGGACACACAACAAAAAGCACCGAACTGCGTCACGAGACAAGCCCTCACATGGAACCCTCAAGGCAGAAGGAAAAGAGGAAGGCCAAGGAACACATTACGCCGAGAAATAGAGAAAGATATGAAAAGAATGAACAAACATTGGACAGAATTGGAGAGGGAAGCCCAGTACAGAGTTGGTTGGAGAAAACTGGTGGGCGGCCTATGCTCCATTGGGGGGTAACAGGCATAAGTAAAGTAAGTAAATTAACACTTTCCAATTAAATACTGAGACAAAGTCGAAAAAGACACAAGGGAATACAAGAGCTATATCAGCTGATTAAACGCTCAACTACTATATTTGAAGGTTCAAAGTTACTCAATTGTCGGAATCAATATGAATGAATCATGATTTTAAAAAATGGTTAAAAGTAATAATCCAAAAACTATTGATCTCTTAGAATCTAGGATCGATAAGAATCAAAAACTTTATGAAGTCAAGTAATACGGAAAACATTCATTCTCTAAACTGGATGTTTTGGTTCGGGAGCTTTTCATTGTTCTTCCTCTGAACAACACCATCAGCACAAATTTCAGGTTCAAGTGAAATATTCTAATTTCTCCACATGATGTGTAGCCTTGTCCTGTTGACCTCAACCTTGATTGGTCATTATTGACCTTTAACCTGACGTTGTCTACAACTTTAATCATCCATCCACCTGAACTACCGATTTTCTCCACCATGGTATTAGTCAGTTTGTTACCAGAAGTGTAATATTGTAGAGATTTACTATCAAAGGATTGTCATAAACCTTTAATTAAGTCGATGTCTCAATAGAATGAAACATAAATGTATTGGGGATTAACATTCATCATTTCACGATGACCCGCTTGGTAGAAGTCTTTAAAGACAATCACACCCAAGGAATATCAATTTTTAATTTTGATATATATATATATATATAGACCTTGTGTGAAAGGAATTTTTAATACAAATGTCACGACAGTTCTATTGTATGGGACGGAAACTTGGAAAACTATAAAAGTCATCATTCAGAAGATACAAGTGTTTATTAACAGTTGTCTACGCAAAATACTTCGCATCCGTTGGCCAGACACCATCAGCAACAACCTACTATGGAAGAGAACAAATCAGATTCCAGTTGAGATGGAAAATCAGGAAGAAGTCCTGGAAGTGGATAGGACACACATTGATGAAAGCACCCAACTGCATCACAAGACAAGCCCTAACTTGAAATCCCCAAGGTCAAAGGAAAACAGGTAGACCAGAAAACATTACGCCGAGAAACGGAGAGAAACATGCGAAGAATGAATAAAAATTGGACAGAACTGGAAAGGGAGGCCCAAGAGAGAGTAGGTTGAAAAATACTGATCGTTGGCATATATCCCATTGGGAGGGAACGTGCATAAGCATCTAAGCTCATGGAATACTTTAAATAAAATTTAAGTGCAGAAGAAAATATACATGATTCAGTACAAATTTTAACATTTTAAAGAATATACGCGAAATTTTACAAAAAGTCAGTCAGTTGCAACGTAGAACTTCGTACGTAAGTACATCAGTTCATGTTGCCATGCCAAATCAGCACAGAGATGTAATTGTCAATTCAAATCCAATAGCAGTAGAAGAGGTAGTAAAGGTATTAGAAGTAATCGGAGAGGTTAGGATTAGAAAATATTATTCAAGAAGTATGATTCAGTGAGATAAGTTTAGAAAGTCAAAAGTAGAGTTGTTGAAGAATCCAGAAGATTAGGATTTGAGAGAACACAAACAATGAATTCACCAGCGCCATTGCAAACGGTTTTGAGCCATGTCATTCAAGGTAACTAACTATCGATTATTATCATCTCGTAGGCCCCAACCAAATAGTCGACAACTACCGACATGGCTAAGTCCACTCGTCAATGACTTCATGGATTTCTGCCAACCTATTCCTACACTACAAAACAAAGCTCGACGAGGCAGTCGGTGGTTAGGCATACGCAACACATGTCCCAACCACCTCAACTGATGAAGTTTCATTACTTCATCTATTGATCTGCCGTTCTTACCTAGCACCCGATTCCTAATAACAGCATTGCTCACTTGGTTGTCCCACGGTATACTAACAATGCTTCGAAGACACCTATGATCGAAAACCAGTAACCTACGAATATCTTCTACTCTCACCGGCCATATTTCACAGCCATAAAGTAAGACGGAGAGAACCACTGCACAGTAGTGGTTCATACATTCAAATATCAAAACATAATAAATAATTCGTCAACACATGAATATGCATACTTACATTTGATGATGACGAGGAGGAATGAGCAGCACTCATAGATTCGGCCTCCATTAAACGTTGTTTATTGTCTGAATTGAAAATGTACGGTACAATGGTGACCAACATACTGAGTAAATGTTCAACAGCTTTTCGACTTAGTAAATCCTAACAAAATAGAATAGAATGTATAGGTTAAATAAACAACAAAACGAAATAATGGGATGCTAGAAGATAGATGACCAATCAAAGGTGGATCTGAAGGAATGATTTACATAGGCATTTGTAAATAAAGTAGAGAAATATGCTCTACATTCTTTCGAAAAAAACAATACCGCAAATTATATTATGAAGAATTGTATTCACTGGAATAATAATAAAACCATTTACCCATTTATTTGAACACATAAACATTGGTATTAAGAGGCACCTCAATATTTAAGAGTTACTCGATTTATTGAATTTGTAAGTGGCCTGAGTGTCCAGACCAAGAGAGGTGATTTCCCTAGGGGTCCACTTCCCGAACTTTTTACCAAAAGGCCTAGTCCACAAGGCAGGAGTGGGGCAGCGTTACGAGCTGCAACCCTATGACAGACTGTAAAGGACAACATGTTCATAAGCCATTCATCTCATCAGAATCCTATAGTCCATATGCACCACTAGTTCAGAATCCTAAATGGATCGTCTCTTTCCATCAATCCAGTTCAAGCACTAGACACCCGCTTTTCACCTCTCAATGTCGTAAACAAACACTTCCATCATGAGAAAGCAGTGAATAGGACTTCTCTCGCAGTGGCTATAAATGCATAGCCATATTAGAGCATTTCGAGAGAAAGAGAAGGTTCTTGCAGATACTATCGAACTCTAGAAAAAATTATATGAGCGTTTCGATATTTGAGGAGACATAGGAGGAGTTACAATGAGAACGAGATCGATAGTTCTGGAACGCCTAATTCAAAAGTGGTGTCAAGTTTTTCCTCATTAGATTAAGGCACGACAACGTAAGCGAAATTATTGGATCGGAATATTTTAAGTTGATAATTTAACCAATATAACAAATAGAAACTCGAGTGAAAACCTATAAGCAAAGAGTAGATATTTTTAGAAATGTATTTGTTGACAGCACTTCCGAAATGCTGTCATATTGCAACGCGTACATAGCCACTGTTAGGAAATTCCTACTCGCCACCTTCGAACGGCAGACGTGTTGTTTAAGAAATTGAGAGGACGAAAAGCAAATGTTCGCAATTAAACTGGACTTATGGATAGGAAGGATCTATTTAGGGGAGTTGGAAAACACCAGTGGACAAAAACTCCAAAATCATGCCGTCTGAATCGAATGTCAGTCACCGGCCATCATGAAACTGCAACCCCTCATGTCGCTCCACTGCCTCGTGGTTTATACCTGTATCTAAAAGGTTGGGGGAATGCCCACCCAAGAATACGAACACCTATCATGGTTTAAGCAGCCGGACAGCCACCCAGACCACTTAAATATTCAATAATTTGTATGTTGAAAAAATATTCAGGATGTTTATATACTTATCATTAGTTAAAAATTATAATTTGTATTGCAAAACAGAAAAAGATTAATAGTGGTCAGTCAGTCAGTCAGATGCAACGTAGAACGTCGTACGTAAGTACATCAGTTCATGTTGCCATGCCAAATCAGCACAGAGATGTAATTGTCAATTCAAATCCAATAGCAGTAGAAGAGGTAGTAAAGGTATTAGAAGTAATCGGAGAGGTTAAGATTAGAAGATATTATTCAAGAAGTATAATTCAGTGAGATAAGTTTAGAATCCAGAAGATTAGGATTTGAGAGAATACAAAGAATAAATGCAAGATTGCAAACGGTTTCGAACCATGTCGTTCAGGGTCTCTAACTATCGATTATTATCATCTTGCGGACTCCAACCAGGTAGTCGACACCTACCGACATGACTCAGTCCGCTCGTCAATGACTTCATGGATTTCTGCCATGTTTTGGTTTGGCCGCCCCTAACTTTCTTCCAACCTATTCCTACACTACAAAACAAAGCTCGACGAGGCAGTCGGTGGTTAGGCATACGCAACACATATCCCAACCACCTCAACTGATTGTGGTGGTGGCTTTCTGCAACCATCATCCAGAACACCGCGCGTTGAAGAGTGAATTATATATATAAAGCACATTTTTTTGAAATAAAATACAATCAGTTCACCTGTAAATCTGTACGTGAACATAATTGTGCCAATGCCGGTATCATACATTGATGAACACGTGCTGTAATCTTTTTTACATTTAATGCTTGTGCTTCAGTATCAGTGTTTGTTGTTCTTTGATTATTACTATCTGAATTAGATGGAGCACAAAAATCTGCATTACTCATACGATCTGCGCATATAAGCCATTCTTCTAAGACAATTGATAAAGGTTCTAAAAGTAAAAATAGAAAATAAAATGAAATATTAAGTGATATATATCAATAGGTTTATGATGATACTAACTTAACGGATCGAATTATTTATTGTTCAACTCATTATGAGTTGACTTTTGATTATTGGATTTACAACTATGAGATACTTGAATATTATCCCGACTATAGCTGTTAGTTTGACGTGCTGATCAGGCTTACCTATCTTGATGACCCAACCGAGTTCTATTGGCTGGAACGTATGTTCCTGTAGGTTCTACAATGCCAGGCAGGTCAATTGGAGAACGATGAGACTAAAAGCAGCTAATCAAGGTTTGAGGGTGGTCGTACTGTTCACTGTAGAGGGTAGTGACAGCAGTAATGTGTTTCCCTCAGACAACCAGCATCTGCAGCGATGCTGCCTTCTCACAAGGAACAAAGGGGTTAAAAAAGGTCAACCCAAAAATGTCACACCTCACCCCACCTCACGGATTCCGGTCTCCGACTTTTGAAACAAGAGCGGAGATAACAATTACAAACCTCTCATAAAAATATCGGATGAGACCGGACTCAAGTAGTTATCCGTTGGGCTCTACGGTCACGCTCCCAGGTCTCCCAGTTCAACACTAATCCAAGTTCCGTTTTAGGTTCCTTAAAGAACACCTCTCCACCATGCGGGCAACCGAGAACAGACATCCGCCCTCATACCCGTAACATCGCACAAGACTTGAATATCATAAATCTTCCATTCTTATACACGTTTTTTTTCCGTGCCCTATTCGTCAATATTGTTACAACACATCACTATTATGCAATTAAATTACTAGGTAATGGATAAGGGTACTTGGTTATGAGTCACAACATGAGTGTATTAGGTCGCCTAAACTGAAATAACTGAGGCGGCATTCGAACATGTGAATCGGTTAAAATACACTGACAAACGTTTTATTTTACACTTCCCGAATAAATGAAACAAAACTACATCAACTCTGAATTCAAAGTCAGTGGAATAGTAAAATCAATTTCGATTTCTTTTTGAAGTATAGCAAAATAAAATAAAAGGCAAAAACATACAAAATGATGTCATGAAGGTTGAAATAAAAATGATTATGATTATTATGATTTCTTTTTATTGAATACAACGTACTTCGTATAGCTGGATCATTCAAATCAAAACTGATCAATTGACGAAATAATCTGTACAAAAAAATGTACAAATAAAAAGTGCTTTAATGACGGTCACACAATGAATGACGTAATACAAAGTCACAAATCCATTTTTTTTTAAAAAAAATGGACAATATCGGATAACGTTTTCTACTTGACGAATACACAATGGTATGTATGTGAAACAAAAAGTGCTTTTTTTTAATTTGTAAATAATACACCCATGATAAAATTAACGATTGTTTCATGAAAATGTAATAATTTTTACAATATGAGAAGAAATGGGTCACATGAATAAAAAAAATGTTTGTGTAATGTCAGACAGGAGTTTACAGCTGAATTAATTAAACAGTAAATTAACGATCCAGTGACATATGTCGCATATCTACTAGGATTGAAGTTAATTAGATACCTTAAAGAGACTAATGAAATGAAAAACACTGTAGTTAATGATTTTAATAAATCAGTTACAACTTAGAACTTGGTACGTACATACATGACACCTATTTGCCATAGCACATTACCAAGGACAGAATGAGTTGCCACCTCAAATCACAAAGTAGTAGAAGTTGTTGAAGGTATTAGTGGTAATTCAAAAGGTTAGAGATTGAAGATACAATTTACGAAAATGCAAACCAGTGAAATAAATTTAAAAAGGGAAAAAAGGTCATGAGGAATTCAGAAGGTTCGGATTTAGGGGGAAGACAAAAGGTGTATGCATCGGTGCCATCTCAAACGATTTTAAGTCATATCATTTAAACTTTCTAACTACCAGTTACGATGATGACACAATCCGCAAACAAGGTGATCTGCATCTAGTAACATGGCTCAGTCGAACTTTTAACGAATTTATACACTGGTGCCATGATTGGTTTGGCCACCTCTAGATTTGCTCCAATCTACTCCTACATAAAACAGCATTGTTCGTCATGGTAGTCGGTTGTTAGGTATACATATCACATGTCTCAACCACCTCAAATGATGAATATTCACTTCATTAATTGATTTTCAATCCTTACCTAGTATCCTTTTTTAACAACAACATTGATTACTCCCTGGTCGCATGAAAATACGAGCAACGCTTCGAAGACACTTATGATCGGATACTAGTAACCTACAAATATCCTCTACACTTACTGGATATGTTTGACACCCTTACAGTATGACGGAGAGAACTGTTGCACAGAAAACTCGTCCTTTGTTTAACAAACACATATCTGGCCTATGCCATAAGTGACGCAAGTTGGCAAAAGGTAGTCAAACCTTCTGCAACTGTGCTGAGATTTCGTCACACACCAATCCATTAGAACTGATGAGACTCCTTAGATAAGTGAAGTAGTCAACACGCCCAACTACTTCACTCCTTACCATCGATACAGGCACCGATGCACACCGATCCTGAAGCTACATCCCAAGCTAAAACTTAATAAATCTACCTAATTCAACAATATCAATTAGCATCTACAGACAGTGTGGATTTACTCAAAATTGTTGACATTTCTTTCATGATGACTGTCAACAAGCAGTAAACATGACATTATCAGTTTTGTACTCGTTTTGCACACATTCCGACCGATACCAAGATTAATTCAGAATTAAAACAAACTAATGTCTACATATATATATCTAAATATACTCACCCAAAATAAAGTGTTATCCCATTCAATTTGAAAAATGCATTAATCATGCCCAAATCAGAATTTCTTTGTACCGAATCATGTAGTAATAAATTAGTCAAACGTATTGATGCATAACGTATAGCATAATTTAATATTGCTGTAGCTTTATGATTACGATTCATAGATGCTGGTTCCCATGCATAAGCAATCGACAAGACATCAGCCACTTGAACTAATGCACGTGATTTCATTTCATTCGGTATTAATTCATTGGGAAATAATGTGGTACGACGACGTCTATAATTAATTTGTGTACGATTTGAAAAAAATCTACCAAGTGCAGTGAATAATTCCGTGACAGAATTAATAAGAAATGATGTGACATGGAGTATACGATTTAATGGTTTGATTAGTTCTAAAATATAAATAAATTAAATAAATAATTAATTAATAATTGAAGTTTTTTTCTGAAAAATCGATACCCAATTTTCAACACCTTAATAATCACATTTAGAGGATATAAGTTAAAGGATGATGATGTCAGTCAGTCAGTTGCAACGTAGAACTTCGTACGTATGTACATAAGTTCATGTAGCCATACCACATTAGCACACAGACGCAAATGTCAAATCAAATCCCATAGTGATAAAGATAGTAGAGGTATTAATGGTAATGAAGAAGACTAGGGTTTGAAGATATTGTTCAAGAAGTATAATTCAGTGAGATAAGTTTAGAAAGTCAAAGGTAGAAGTGGTAACGAATCCAGAAGGTTAGGATTTGAGAGAGCACAACGAATTGATGCACTTGCGCCATTGCGAACGATTTTGAGCCATGTCATTCAAGGTCTCTAACCATCGATTATTATCATCTCGCGGACCCCAACCAGGTAGTCGACAATTACCGACATGGCTAAGTCCACTAGTCAATGACTTCATGGATTTCTGCCATGTTTTGATTTGGCCACCCCTAACTTTCTTCCAACCTACTCCTACACTACAAAACAAAGCTGGTCGAGGTAGTCGGAGGTTAGGCATACGTAACACATGTCCCAACCACCTCAACTGATGAAGTTTCAATACTTCATCTATTGATTTGTCGTGTCTACCTAGAACTCGTTACCTAACAACAGCATTGGTTATACGGTTGTACCATGATATACGAGCAATGATTCTGAGACATCAATGATCGAAGACTAGTAACTTAAGGAAGTCCTCTATATTTAACAGCCAAGTCTCGCATCCGTACAGTAGGACGGAGCGAACTGCTGCAGAGTACACTCGTCCCTTAGTCAGCAAACGGATATCTCGCCTGCGTCATAGGTGACGCAGGTTGGCAAAAGCCAATCGAGCCTTCTGTATCCGAGATGACATTTCGTCAGTCACCAGACTATCAGCGCTGATGAGACTCTCAAGATAAGTGAAGCGGTCTGTCTACACGTTCGACTACTTCACTCTCTATCACTAGTTCAGGTGCCGATGCAACCCAATTTTCAACAGCTTAATAATTACGTTTAGAGAATAAAAGTTAAAGGATGATGACGATGACGAAGAAATCAATAATAATGACCAACCTGGATGTTGCGATATAAAAGCCAATTGATTATCAGTAGTAGGTGAAATGGATTGGGTAATCAGTGAATACATATGTAAAGCTTCTACAAATTGTGGCATTGGTTCACAGGGAATGTTTTTAATTTTATTTGAAAGAGTAGGATCAGATTCTAACGATTTGTTAAAACTATTCAATAAATGTTGAGGTATTTTTATTCCATTCAACATATCTGATTCATTGATAGTTTTATCACCAAAAAGAACTTTTAAAATGATACCAGCTTCCCATGAAACTCCTAAATAGAGACGTCTAGAAAAATGAGAAAATAGAAATATATATGTTTATATCATGAGATAAATCCGTATGAGATAAGTCATCTTAAAACATAAAATATCACATTGTAAAACACAATATGAACAGATTGAAATAACAATACATATTCCATTAATAAGTGAGATGTATTTTTAAAGTGCTTTTTTCCAGAATGATAGATTACCGAATTTCAAGAATATCTCATGATGAGATTTAAGATGATTGATAAGGTTACTAAATAACTAACTGACGACTACTTTGACATGTTATGCTACTTAGAATAGGAATATATTTACTGGTTAGGGCGGAGGGGATGATCACGATGTCAGTCCACGGAAAATTGATCTTTGATTCAAGTTATGTCTCAAGTTTCAAATAGTCCATTAGTGGTTCACGTAGTAGAGATGCTTGAAATGACATTTAAAATAGACTATAACTGTGCTAAGGTATTTATGATTAATTTCATTCTACAATGTGGTTTTAAACAGAATTTCACATATTTCATTTGAATTTTTTAAAAATTATATGTTCAATGGTCGATAGCCATTGATACAATGAACTCGAGATTTCTCTATTCAGTTAGTGACCACTTGTTGTTCTAATATGGTATGAGAATGTAGATGACTGAATGAGTTGATGTGCATTAGCACTGAGTGAATAAGGGAAACTTGTCTGAATATTGTAAATAGCAATGTAAAGTGTCCAACGGAACTGAAAGGCTACAAATTGTAGCGGTAATGATAATTTATTTTACAGTTACGAAGATTGCTGGTTTACAATGAAATCGTGAATTGATCATCGTCATGTCGCCCTTAAAAATCTGGAAGCACTAGAAGGCCGTTTCGTACTAGCATGGGACTTTCCATGAGTGTGCATCCACGACACCCGTTTGAGGGAATCAGACCCGGTGTAGTGATGGAGAATACAAGTAGGGCAACCGAATTGTATTTAACGAAAATTACAGAGTTACTCAGTAAAATCGGAAAACCATATCGCGACCGTTAATTTGCAAATCTTCAATTCATCATCAATCCATTGTCTGACATTTCACTTATTCATGCGTTTCATACAAATTCCATTGTGTTCCCACTCTTCCTTTCTTGATCTTCCCCCCATCTTCTGCTGCCAGACATTATGTTTACACTCACGTCATATACTACTTATAAGTAGCGCGCACCACACCGGGACCTTCGGTGTTGCACGTGAACGCTTAACTCCTACACTAGATTAGTCAACCAAACAATGTTCAGCCCAAAATAATTATGAATAACTATAAAAATCAACTCAGAAAACAAAATTCCAATGCCGAAAAAAATTCAGATTAGTTTGAAAATCAAACCAAAACCAAACTATGCTATCGAAAAAAAAACAATTTCTTTCTAATTAAATTAAATTTCACAGTACAATAAAACAAAATTTTCAAATTGTTTTCAAATTGTATTAATAATAATCTTTTTTTTAAAAAAAAATAAAACTTACCCTAATGTTTTCAAACAATTTTGAGATAACCAACTACTAGCCAATGACATACGTATTTCTGATTTAATATGTTCAATCATTTGTACTAGTATACAAACTACCGAAGCAATCACTACTAATTCATGCAATACATCTCGTTCACCAGATAAATATTCACGTAACAATAGAGAATTCATTGGATAATTCGATGTGTGTAAAATGGTGAGTTTATTTAATGAAACCTCTAAACACTTGAATAAGAACAAGAAAAAAAGAAGAAATCAAAACTATGTTAAGCAACATGATTATTTTATAAAAGCATAGTCAGTCAGTCAGTCAGTTGCAACGTAGAACTTCGTACGTATGTACATAAGTTCATGTTGCCATTACCACATTACTAGCACAGAGACGCAAATTCCAAATCAAATCCCATAGTGATAAAAATAGTAGAAGAATTACTGTTAATAGATAAGATTAGGATTTGAAGTTAATATTCAAGAAGTATGATTCAGTGAGATAAGGTTAGAAGACAAAGGTAGAGGTGCTGACGAATCCAGAAGATTAGGATTTGAGAGAGCTCAAAGAATGGATGCACTTGCGCCATTGAAAACGATTTTCAGCTATGTCGTTCAAGGTCTCTAAACATTGGTGACTTTTTATAAAAGCATATAACGCATATCGATCGCAATAGCCCGTGAGATGATAGTAACCGATGATTAGAGAGATCTTGGAATGACATAACTCCAGATAGTTTGTACAATGGCGTATTCTTTCTGTTCTGTCAAATTCTAATCTGAATTCTTCATGACCTTCATCTTTCTCTTCTAAAATTTAATTCAATTGATTAGACTCTCTCTGAATATTTCCTAATTACCGTTCATACTTTTACTAACTCTACTACTATGGGATTTAAATTGACAATTGTGTTGATGTGGTGTGATAACTTGAGCTGATGTACGTACATACGTTGTTGTTGACTGACTGATCGACTAAGTATTGACAAATATTCAACAAATTACACAGTCCTTAAAGTTATAATTATGTTTTTAGTTTTTTGAATAAAAGGTTTCTATTTAGAAATGAACGACGAGGAGTGTACAAACCTCTAGTAATTTTTTTTAGTCACAGTGAAAATACAATAGTATGATTATACTTAGAAAAATAGTTGATCATTCGGTTTTTGTCAACAACGAAATCAGTTGTGGAATAGCATGTATGGTAGATTGACATCAGTTGAAAAACTACCGAAAGCCATGAAGTATTTGGATAAAATATTCCAGTCTAGTTTCGGATTGTATTCACAAAAAGACATAATTTTTACCTATAGTCAAGTCATCATAAATGTTAGTATATTTAGTTACAAACTCCGCCTGCAGTCCTCCAAGGGTCATTATCGGTCCGAGGCCCGGAAAATGGAGGATGGTTGGGCATATGGGTTACCGACCGCCGTCCCGTAGAAATCCAACTCGCTAAAAAAAATGCTAACCAGGAAAAAAATTCGCAGGTCCACGGTTTATAATTCATTAGGAATAACAGGCGTAAGTAAGTTGTGTTTCGTCACAAAATAAAAGTACGGCCTAGTAGTGAAAAACTATCTATCAACAGTAATAATGTCATTCAGCTAAACGAGAAATTATGTAAGTCCGCTTTGATTCCCACTACAGATAATGTCAAGCAAGTAAATTTTGACGAATTAACGAAGAAACAATAAATTCATAAGAGAGAGAGAGAGAGAGCGTAATTCAAGTCTACTATTATCAAACAGTTGATATACCGTAAAGCAAGAGTATTACAATGTTTCAGTGCAAAATGGAATTATGTACTCTATTGATCACTAGGAATTCCAGTTAACGGTTCAAATATTTATCAATTGGAAAACAAAAACCATGATACTTATGATATTAATGTAAGTAGTTCAGCCACTAGCATTTTTGTGACTGCATCTCACTATCAGCTAGTTAGATCAATTAGTCAGCTACAACGTAGAATTTCGTACTTGCATACATCAGTTCAAGTTGCCATACCATATTACCATAGACAGATCGAATTGTCGATTCAAATCCTATAGTAGTAGAGGTGATGGAGAAGATTAGGATTCGAAGATATTATTCAACAAGTATAATCCAGTGAAATAAATTTGCGAAGATAAAAATGAAGGTGACAAGGAATTCATAAGATTATAATTTAATAGAACACAAACAATGGAAGAATCTGCACCCCAATGCACACGATTTTGAGCTATATCATTTTCAAGGTCTTTAACCACTATTTGCCAACGCGACAAGCTTAGATAACTCAATAGTACTATCATTCAACCTCTATACTACTTAAAGAATGACTGTTAGGATATTCACCAAATATCCTAAGAATACTATTTTTAGAAGTGCAATCCTATTGGTCGAATTCTATTGGCCGAAATTATGATCGTTCTTACCGTCAGGGTCAAATACTTCAATGTTATCTCTTATTGGTCATCTGGACGGTCAATGTCATTCAAATGTTCTTTTCTATTGGTCGTCCTAAATTGTCAATGTCACGGACGTTGATGCTTTTTCTCATTCGACCTTAGTGTATAAATACGCGCTATCTGAAAGACTGAATAATTCCGTTTTCCCTGCCTACTTCTTCTGTTTTTCGACCCAATAAACATCTTCCTTCCACGGTGTTACGTTCTGATTTCTAGGAGATTTGGAAAAGCCTTTTGGGTCGTATTGTGATATTTGAATTGGACGCCGTTAGGACTGAAGATTTACGTAGTCGCGTTTACAACACATACCCAGTTGAATGAATGAGTACAACTTACATTTGACACAGTTAATTTTAGTATGGATGGACAAATTAACTAGATAAATGAAATCATATTTTTTTTATACTTCAAACACTACTTATACACCATATATAAAAAATAATGTGAGGCAATAAAATTGCAACTAGAGTATTTTTTTCTCAAAAAAAAACGCTACTAATTATAACAACATATAATCATTTGTCAATTTGATCATTGACAAATGAACACATGTGATCAATTTCACAATTATTTACTATCATATGCACAACAATAAACCGATTACATTGATACACTTTGAATTTTAATCATTAAAATAATAAAAATAATAATAATTCAATTTGTTGAATAAATAGCGTAAAACTTAGATAAACTAAAAAATGTAGCACTTGAAAAAAGAAACGAAAGACAGCAATAGATAATCATTTCAATAGTCAGTCAGTCAGTTACAACGTAGAACTTTGTACCCCGACGGTAGCTGCTACCTGGACGTGGTGGTCGGGCTTGCCTATCGTGATGACACAACCGAGCTATACTGGCTAGAACATATGTTCCTGAAGGTTCTATCATGCCAGGCAGGTCGATTGGAGAACAATGAGACTAAAAGCAGTTACCCAAGGTCTGAGGGCGAAGTTGTACTTCTGACTGCAGAGGGGTGTGACAGCAGTAAGGTGTTTCCCTCGGACAACAAGCATCTGCAGCGATGCTGCCTTCTCACAAGGAAGGAAGAGTTAGAAAAAGTCGACCCTAAAAATGTCACACCTCACCATTTACTACCTCTTCTAATATTGGATTTGAATTGACAATTACATCTCTGTGCTGATGTGGTATGGCAACATGAACTGATGTACATACGTACGAAGTTATACGTTGCATCTGACTGAATGACTGACTGAGAACTTTGTACGTACATCAGTTCAAGTTACAAACACCACATTAGCACACAGAGAGATGGAATTGTCAATTCAAATCCTATAATGAAAGAGATAGTAGAAGAATGAGCAGTAATCGGAAAGATTAGGGTTGGAAGATACGATCCAAGAAGTATAATTCAGTGAGATAAGTTTAGAAAGACAAAGGTAGAGGTGTTGACGAATCCAAAAGATTAGGATTTCACCGAACACAAAGAGTGGATGCACTTGAGCCATCGCAAACGATTTTGAGCCATGTCATTCAAGGTCTCTAACCATTGGTGAAATAATTTCAAGTATTTGTTGGAATAGTGGTTAAAGTTGAATAATTTCAACAAATACTTTACTAATAAATAAATAAATTTAACTACATAGGTAAACAATAAAAAGAAACTAACTGAGTTCGTTACACAGTTAAAGTATTTCGTGTTTACTTAATTAACAGATAACACCGCAATGTCGAACGTGTAGACTACTTCATTTAACTGAGGAGTCTCATCAGTGCCGATGGCCTGGTGACTAACGAAATCTCAGCTCCGATACAGAAGGCTCAACTGGCTTTTGCCAACCTGCGTCACTTATGGCATAGGCGAGATATCCGTTTGCTGAATAAAGGATGAGTGTGATGTGCAGTAGTTTACTCCGTCCTACTTTATGGCTGTGAAATATGGCCAGTGATAGTAGAAGATATTCGTAGTTTACTGGTTTTTGATCATAGGTGTCTTCGAAGCATTGCTCGTATATCCTGGGACAACCGAGTACAGAAACGAACACGATCAATAGATGAAATCTTGAAACTTAATCAGTTGAGGTGGTTGGGACATGTGTTACGTATGGCTAACCACCAACTGCCTCGTCGAGCTATATTTAGCGGTGTAGGAACAGGTTGGAAGAAAGCTAGGGGCGATCAAGCCAAAACATGGCACAAATCCATGAAGTCACTGACAAGTGGACTGAGCCATGTCGGTAGGTGTTTACTACCTGGTTGGGGTCCGCGAGATGTTAGTAATCGATGGTTAGAGACCCTGAACGAGATGGCTCAAAACGGTTTGCAGTGGCGCAGGTGCATTCATTCTTTGTGTTCTCGCAAATGCTAAACTTTTTAATTCTTCATCACTTTATTCTTATCTTTTAAGTCTTTTTCACAAGATCCTAACCTCTCCCGACTACCGCTAATACTTTTACTACCTCTACTACTATTGGATTTGAATTGACAACTACATCTAAGTGCTAATGCGGTATGGCAACATGAACTGATGTAGGTACGTACGTCCAAAGTTCTACGTTGCTATTGATTGATTGAGATAACAACAGCAATGGTATTGTGGGTGGATTAAAGGATCCCATCGTCAGCTGTTTAGATGTATGATGTTAGAAATGTAGCTTTATCGATTTCCATTTTCCTATGAATAACCATGTAGCTGTGGTGTATGCAGCATAAATTGTAGCGAAAAATAATCTAACTACATGAATTTGTCCGTGCTTAGTAAATTAAATATGACACATAGAGTAGTTAATAATAAATAATATGAAAAAAAAGCAATTCAATTGAATATTTTACCTGAAACAATGGTTTAGTTACATCGGTCAAATTCACTGAATTCGCCAGATCTTCAAATATTTTACACAATGATGCACAAGTAGCCGATACTGGAAAATCATACGGTAGACCAGGCATACGAATTAAATCACACAAAACTTGTAAACCACCTTGACTAACAAATTGTGGACACATTGCTTCGGTGGTATGCGATCCAAATGGTAGAAGTTTCTCGAGAAATTTACACTACAAAACAAAATGATAATAAAATGTGAAGATTGAATGATTGAAAGTAGTGGTAGATCATGACAATTATTTTACAGACACATAAACAAAATAAACCTGTGTGTTAAACTCGACTCTAGATATGCTTAAAACTATTATGAGTTCACCTTAGTCGAATAACGAGAACAAACAATGAACCAGCGTCCAGGTAGGCTACTCTGATCCCTTGACCGAATTGGATCAGTAAGAAGAAACTAGATTCTACAAACACCCAGCCAGCACACAAAGAATCCAAGCACTCAAATTGCGTTTAATTATACTCTATAGATATGTCCTTGGGAGAGTCACAAAAATAACACAGTAACCAATCAAAGCCGAGGATTGTTCTGGTGGGAAATGTGATCTCAAAGTCAACTGATCGGTCCATGAAAAAATCCAAAATAAAGATATTTATCAAGCGAATTCTGGGGATCTAACATCCCCAATAATATAGTTAAAGACATGCTGATAAAAAGCCTACCCAATGATAGAGAACAGTGATGCTTAGCAAAATCAAAAGAGAAAGGAAAAGGCAGGCAGCGGTGGACAAATGTTGTCGAAAAAATTGGGCTTTCACATGTTTGCTACGATATTGGCTAACATTCTCGCTGTGAAAGCTCACTTCTGTCTAAATAAAAATCTGCTACTGATACTAACAAAGCACTGTTTTACATTTTACAACAAAATATGTCAAAGTCAAGTTACAATGTTCGGAGTAAATGTTTGAAATAATTTATCTTTAAGAGATTTTAATTAATTTTAATAGACATCTAAGTAATTTGTCAAAATACAATGCATAGGAATATTATTAGTATGATAGTCAGTCAGTTAGATGCAACGTAGAACTTAGTACGTTAGTACATCAGATCATGTTGCCATACCACATTAACACAGAGATGTAATTGTCAATTCAAATCCAATAGTAGAAGAGGTAGTAAAGGTAATAGAAGTAATCGGAGAGGTTAGGATGAGAAGATATTATTCATGAAGTATGATTAAATGAGAAAAGTTTAGAAAGTCAAAACTAGAGGGGTTGAAGAATCTAGAAGATTAGGATTTGAGAGAACACAGAGAATAAATGCACCGGCGCCATCGCAAACGGTTTTGAGCCATGTCATTCAGGGTCTTCAACCATCGATTATTATCATCTGGTGGACCCCAACCAGGTAGTCGACACCTACGAACATGACTCAGTCCACTTGTCAGTGACTTTATGGTTTCCTGCCATGTTTTGGTTTGGCCGCCCCTAACTTTCTTCCAACCTATTCCTACACCGCTAAATATAGCTCGACGAGACAGTCGGTGGTTAGCCATACGTAACATATGTCCCAACCACCTCAACTGATGAAGTTTCATTACTTCATCTATTGATCTGCCATTCTTATCTAGTACCCGTTTGCTAATAACAGCGTTGCTCACTCGGGTGTCCCAGGATATACGAGCAATGCTTCGAAGACATCTATGATAAGGGCTGATAGATAAAAATCATAACAAGAAATGAATTCACTTACCATATTTAACATGAAGTCAGGTAGGAATACATTAGGAGTTACTGAACTACCTTCAGTATAAGCTGTAGTAGTAGTAGCAGTAGTAGAAGGATCACTTCCAACGGACATCTTTTCACATTCAAGAGATTCCAAACTAGCCATAGGAACTGATGCACCACCTGATGATACAATTGTACCAGTTTGTACAGTTTCACAACCACTGTGCGTCTGTTGACTGGCTTCATTCACATCATCAATATCACTGTTATAATCATCTTCATCTTCACCTCCAGATAACATCACTACATCATCATCTTCATTTGTACCAATAGCATTTTGCATGTTGTTACTTAAACCTAAAGGAGCATTTGGCATAGATTGACTCGTACCACCACCACCTGAAGTATCTTGCCTTTGATGACTTGGTGGCTCACTACCGGCAACTTCTGCAAAACTACGTAAACCGAAATTACTGGAATTTCTTGTAGAACTTGATAAGATGTTGAAAGCTGTTGCATTACATGATACACTTTCAGAAAGTAGAGTTGCTGGTGTTTTCCCAAGGCTTACAACATGACGTAGACACTGAAAAACAAAAACAGAAAACAAATGGATTGAACAGTTTTATTCATAGAATCAGTGAATAAACTTCTTTTCAGAACAATTCAAGCTACCAAGTGGCTACGCTAACATCATAACACATGGAAATCACTAACTCCTATTATCGACTTCACCAATGAACATCTAAAAACAATGAACAGCTATCTTGCCCTACTACACCTCTTCAGCTTACAGCACGGATAACGCTTGGTATCATTCGTAAGCTGAAATTAATGAGAAAACATTGAAACACCACATGTGAAACATGATGGGTTAGCAGGACCATTTGAAATAATTCGAAATAAACGAACATACAAATATGATCACCTTGTCAAAACTATGCAAGACTGTTTTGTAACGTATTATTTCACCCTTCTTTAATAATGAAGGATGATTATTAGCAGAGGTAGATAGCAGCTAGCACATTTCGTCCAGTTTGGAACAGGTCAGCTGGATGCACCTGCACCTCATGATGCTAAAGGGTAATATATCAAGGGAATCCGCACAGGAAGCACATATACCAAAAAGACTGATTAATTGCAGTCTTAGACATTAATGACATGCTTCAAATAATCAATACAAATGAATTATTTAGTAATAGTTTTTATGTTAAAACTCTTATTATCATGGTAAATTTAACTTTCCATAAACAAAACCATCACTAATTCAGCTTCTATTTTTCTGGTTATTCAAGAGTAAGAAGAAGTTCATAGATTAAAATAAACATTGAGTATCAAAATCATCCATTATGAATAAGTACAAACGCACAACTAATTCACATTTACAATTTTTCAATTAGAATTATAGAGATCATTGACCACTAGAAACCTGAAAGCACTGAAAGACAGCCGTTTCATCATGGTATGGGACTCATTAGCAGTGCGCATCCGCAACTCCTGCTACTCGCAGAATTCGAACCCAGGACCTTCGATCTAAGACGCGAACGCCTAACCTCTGGACCACCGAGCCAGCACCCGACAGTGTTAACGTCTAACTCTCATCAATCTACGGATTTTGCACAACCTCACCCATTGTCTTCGGTAGGTAACTGCGCACATCCAACGAAGTTGCACACAACTGATCACTTCTTCTTACTGGAACTCCAAGAATCTCCACACGAAGCTAGTCACTAGTGAACACATTCTAAGCTTTTTCAATTAAAGTTATGAAGATCCTTGTTTTTACATATAAAAATCATGAACCATACCAGAACGAAACGGCCGACCAGTGCTTTCAGGTCTCTAATGATGGTCTAACAATGATTGATTCATAATTTCCATTTAAAAAATGATTGAAGTAGACAATAAACATAAAATAGTATTGAAGTTTATGAATGATTCGATTCCAAATTACTTACTACTTACGCAATCAGATCATAAATCATTCAATTCAAACTAAAAAGTAGTATCATATCAAGATCGTTTTTTCCTCTAAACAGAATTAAATCGAATGTGTTTTTGAAAAAAAAGTGTCAGATCATGAAGCTAAGAGACAATGGGAATATTTAAGAATGCAGTACATATAACAAGCAAAAACAATTAATCACATTGTAACTTACAGAAATAACACATTTAAATACAACAGGCTTTAATTCCGTATGTGAACGGAGTAATTCTTGAATAGCATTACTCATTTGACTCGCTGTTAAACTATTCGATAAATTTTGACCTGAATTACAATTCATATCATAAGGTATTTGTGATATAAACTCACGAACACGTTTTGTTTTCATTGTTGACAAATATTCCGGTGAAACTAATGTATTCAAATACAAACTAATTACACCACTTGATAAAATAGCTTCAATACCACGAGAATTCAAAGCTAAAGTATTCAATAAAGCTGGTAATTGTACAAGAAAATCACGATTTTGAGGTAATGGTTGTTCAGTTAATGCTTTTAAAATATCACTTGTAATATTTTTATCCTGTTGTTGAACAAAACAATAAGGCGAATAGAACACATGTTGTCAATGAATGAAAAATAAAAAATAAATTTAAAAACAAATAATGTAAACATTGAATATTGAACATGAACTGTTGAAAAAAAAAGCAGTAAAAGTAATAATAGGTGTTTAAACTGATGACTGTTATTACTTCTAATGTTAGCCAATAAATTCCACATTGAATAGCTACTTTTACCAATCACAAAATTTGTTCTTAAGACAACAAATGAGTAGGATTAATAATTCTGCACCAATTAATTATTTTTACATATTAAACAAAATTCAAACTGCTGAACTTGATGAGCGCTATCAAAAATGTGCTGCTTATTACTTCAAAGAATAACACTTTTTATTGAAATACCTCAAACGGAAACTGGACTAGGAGGGCCCGGTAACAACCTGAAAGAATGGTTGGAGTGTCCTAGAAATAAGTACTCAAAGCCAGTCGTCAGTCACAATCTTTTTGTGGGTCAATCAGTCACGTACAACGTCAAATTTGGTACGTACGTACATCACTACTACCTGCTATACCATATTGGTACAGACAGATCGAATTGTCAATTCACTTCCCATAGTAGCAGGGGTTGCGACAGTATTAGCGGTAATCCAAAAGATTATGGATCGGAGATATGATTTGAGAAATACATCCTAATATAATAAATTTAGAAAACATTACAGTGGATTCAGAGACTTAGAATTTAGGGGAAGATAATGATAAGTTCGTCACTTATTATGCTTGAGAGCTATTACGAGTTTACCTTAGTCGATAAACGCGAACGAGACTTTTACCAGCGTCCAGGTAGGCTACCTTGAATCCCCAAGGCGAGTAAAAAGGCTTTGTAAGCGTAGAAAGTATATTCTACAAACACCCAGCAATCACAGTACAATCAAGCATACAACTCTCGTTTATTTATACAACATAAGAACGTCCTTGAGACAGTTAAGAAAATAGAATGAATGCATCTGCACAATCTCAAACGATTTTGAGATATGTCATTCAAAGTCTCTAACCACCGGTTACGACCGACTTGCGGAACCAAACTACATAGTCTATAACGATTAGGATGTATCAGTCCAGTTTTCAGTGAGATTCATGTATTTGTACTCTTTTGATACTGTATTTTTAAAACACCATAGCCGCCCACAGCTACCTATGCAGAAGAAAAAGGTGTGGCATTCTTAAGGCAAACATTTTTTAATCCGACCACCTTCTATTGTGGGAAAACAGAATCACTGCCGACGCCGATTATCCGAACGAATCACCTTACTTCCTTTACAAACTACACTGTACAGCCAGTAGTAAATTCTGAGATTTGTGTGCTTTGATGTTACTACTCTCCAGCTAAACTGTCATGCGCGGTAGAACCTAAAAGAACGAGTATTTTATCCAATATAGCTTGGGAGAGTCATCATGCAATGGAAACTTGACAATTATATCAAGGTAGTAGCTACTGTCGAAACTGGTACACTCAGTCTTGACTTACTAACTGGTTGCTGATACCAATGAAAATAAAATGGAGTTTTAATTTGTGCTAATGTGACTAAAAAAGGGTGGGTATTGGACGGTTTTGAGAAAAACGTAGTGAAAATGTGATATTTTGTCACAAAGTGAAAAATGTCGACTGTTTTAAATACACAACCAACAAGTAAGATTTTTTGAAAATTTACAAAGCGATCTTTCTTACAAAATTGGTTTAGATTACTAATGACGATTTTCATCAAGAAAATGATAACAGAGTGGTGCGAAATTTCTTAAACCACGAAAATTCTATGAATCGTAAAAAATTGAAGTGAGACGAGTACACCATTGGATGCCAGTTAATTGATTTAAAAGTTGAGTGATTCAGTGCTTGAAAATGAAGTCCCTGAGTTCGATTTCCAGGACCATTGTCAATGTAACCTAGCGAGCCCCAGACTACGACAAAACAGATGCTCAGTACCTCTTGTTTGTAAATGGTTATCGAACTACGGTCAATACATGACATGATTTAACCTACGAAAATTCAACCATCTTCAAAACACAAACACCACTGTGATGATGAGATGACGGATGAGGAAAGACAATATATATACATTCATCAAAAACTGAGAATGTAAATAGCTAATTAGTAGTATGAGTTGGTGAGAAGTAATTATTGAAAATACAATGACACATTCTCTCTACAAATACAAAAAAGGGACTGGCTACAGTATAAAGAAATAAAGAGTAGGAAATAGCAATATCAAAACAAGTATAAGATGGAAACTGAGTACATTAACCTTTCCAGGAATGACTTCCAGTAATTCTACTTTTGTCACAAACTGATTGTTTCTCTGCTTTTACGATTCAGTTGAAACAGTCAGTGTACAATAAACAGCAATATGCGTAAAATAAGGTTGAATCACTAACCCCACTGTATATTTTGTGAAGACAAGGTATACGATAAATTAGTAGGTGGCTTAGATTACGAGCAACAATTTGTAGAAAACTAGTCAGAAACAACCCCACGCAATTTGGAAATTACACAAGTTTACGTACCTGCATGGTTGAAATCCTAGATGGGTATGTATACAAGTAGTTGGTAATCGTTTCCATTGCGAAAAGTGACAAATGTGGAGTGAAATGGGTAGAACCATTCAAGAAAATCTGACGCAGCACTGACGGTAGGTTACCATCCATAACTGAGTGAACTATATCGCCCCATTCCGCATCCAAACAAAGTCGTTTCAATAAGTTAAGTATAGATTTCATAAGGCCAGAACGTTGGGTATTCAAAGTCTGTTCACAATCCGAAATGCTTGATTTCTTTAAGACCAATTCCAATCAATACAAAACAAACAAGAGGATGCAATTAATATAAAACAAACAAATATTTAACAATATTACAAACTACTTACATCTACTTATTCCAGTAGCAATCACAACTGATACATTAACACTCTTTCAAGATTAATCACATGTAGGTAAAACGTAGAACATCATGACTAACGGTAACAATCTGCCTATTCTGTAACACATTGTTCGAATTAAAGTTATACTTCAAAGCTAAAAGACCCGTTAATATGGTTCCAGAAGACGGGATGAAAAGGTAGACCGTCATCATATCGGTATGAATTCGCATAATTCCAAGTTTATCATTCGGACTTTTACTTCTTCGCTCTAGATCGAGTAGTGCTCTGCTCTGGGATTGATTACACTGTGCCAATCGTGTGTGAAACTTGAGCCGATTTACATGTGTCCTAAATTCTACGTTGGGTGAAAATGACTGCATCAAACATTAGTGATGCCAGAATTCCGTGGATAACATTACGTAAGCTTAAAGCTCTTTTACATTTTACCTTCTGAACATTACAGTGAAATAATATTTCTAAATATTATAGATGAGTAGAATATTCAAAAAGCCTTTGTGCACAAACATTTACTTACATTACTCGGTGTAGAACTCTGAAGAACGACTTCAACTTCATAATTTAATCGGTCGACCAAAATACTTACTACATGTTGACGACTTGAAGAAATACTCAATAGAATTTGATCGGTCACACGAACAGCACGCGTGACATAGCTCAAGTAATCATTGTGTGGTGTATGCCAAGAGATAAGCTGTGTCATTGTATCCAAAACACCACTAGAGCTAAGAGTTGTGCTTTGTGTATTTCCTAAATCTCAAGTATTAACAACGTGAAAACACTTACCTGGACCAATATTTTCTTCATAACAAGCCAGATGATATAAGAAGGATAATAAAGCTGTCGTAAAATGCTGATTTGTGCTCCCAGCAGGAGCTTTTATAGAACCATCTACGAGTCCTTGGATCCATTTTCTGGTCAAATTAGGTAAAATACCATGATAACTGGATAATCCAGTAGAACCAACCAACGAGCCCCAACTACAAATTACCAAACACGTGATAGACGGTGATTTAATTTCGGAATGGAATTTAGAAAACAATTACTTGGTATACATGATTTGTCAGTTTAAGTTCATGACGTCAATTTACTCGCTTTACGTAGATTTAGAACTTGAAAGCCTAAACATCATATCTGTAGTGGTTATGTTGTTTCTTTGCGTTGAGGTCGACTTCGAAATTTCATCTATCGATTGACTTTTTCTCCTGAGAAGCTAATATAACGACTAACTTCTCAGGCTTTCCTTTTCCAATCAATTATTCAATGTTCAAATCCGTTTATTACTTACTTACTTTCGCCTGTTACCCCCAAAGGAGCATAGGCCGCCTACCAGTTTTCTCCAACCAACTCTGTCCTGGGCTTCCCTCTCCAGTTCTGTCCAATGTTTGTTCATTCCTCTCATATCTTTCTCTTTTTCTCGGCGTAATATGTTCCTTGGCCTTCCTCTTTTCCTTTTGCCTTGAGGGTTCCATGTGAGGGCTTGTCTCGTGATGCAGTTAGGTGCTTTCCACAATGTGTGTCCTATCCACTTCCACCGCTTCTCCGCCAGTAGAACCTTCGAAGCTACTGCCAGTCCCAAGCCCGGATAAAGGAGGAGGGTTGGACATGGGGTTGGCAACCCCATTCCGTCGAAATCTAACTTGCCAAAAAAACGCTAACCAAATCCGTTTATATCAGAACCAAAACAAGAACCTTTTCATTACCACTGACAATACGTTTTGGTATCCACTGCGGTGTGATGTACCAACATTGGTCGATGCGTAAATGTTAGGTTGCACGTTGTTTATGCGTGATGGATTAAACATGTAGTGTTGACAACAATTTGCAGATAATTAAAACAGGTAGTAAGTCTAGCAAGTCTCAGTCTCACAATTGCAAACCAACAACTACTTTCATCCCTTTAAAACGTTTATACACTCGTAAGCATCTCTTTGTTTATTAATAATAATAATACAATAACTATCTTTCTGGTGATATCTTAATTAGTAGAACTTTGTACTTCTGATATTTTTTGATTTAATGTGTTCAGAAGAAGTAACTTGCATCAAGTTACAAAATGTCAAAAATATGAATTTCTAATCATTAAGATATCAGTAAAAAAAGTTATAAATTTTTTATTATTAATATTAACTTTCCAGTCAATGCTCAATTTATTTGAAGCTAACAAGTTCAACCTTGGTATTGATCCATTTGTTTATTCAAGAGCCGGTAAGATATTTTGATAATTAATTGTTAATGTAGGCTAAATTTTACATTGAGATCAAGAATCTTACAAATTATGGCTAAGTAATCAGTCAATTTATTGCAACACAGAATCTGATGCATGTATACATTAGTTCGAATTGTCATACCACATAAACACAAAGAGATGAGATACAATAGAAGATACAATTCAGGAAGAAAATCTAAATTAAGAAGTAGATACATGCAATTCCATTTTTAAAAAAAATAAACCGTTCTACATGTGTCCGATAATTATACACTAGATTGACAGGATTAAATAATCTACGATATTACAGACCTGATCTAGTTAATGACACTTTTTTACTGTCTTATGAACTGAATGTTGGATTTAAAGGTTAGCAAGGTCATTTTGTTTCAGCTTGGAGACTCAAGTGGTATCATAATATTCATACAATCTTAAAGATTTGAGGGATATCGATAATGCTGAGAATTAAGACATGAGTTATTTGTTCAGTTTTGTTTTTTTGGTATTCCCAAGTGGTGTATAATGTTCCTAGTTTTTATATTTTGAAGGTACAAAGCTTCTTTCCACCATCCAACAGAAACAAGATTCAAGTCAGTTGATAATCATGTTCTTAGCAATACCCATCATTATAAAACCTGTGTCGTATATTTTAAAACCAAACATGTAAAGCACAATCTCTCACTCGATCAGTAATGTTTGAGTAGAGAGCCTGTACAAGATTAATGTACTTCGGGTACACTGCCATGGAACCTCATGGTACACAGAGTCAAACATCGCCTGAATGTCGAGGACTACAAATATTTTGGGACGTCTAAATGTATATCTGTGACTATCTTCAACTTTCCTACCATGGTACTAATTGGAATACTTGATTGATAACGTTTACAAAGGTTAGCTGTTGGTGTTGACTGAGGAACCTGTTGCAAACTAATGGGGAATTATGTTCCTATATGTTGGTTAGTAGTACAGAGTTTGTGCTTCAAAATGTAACTGTAGTCATCAAGTGTTTTAGCTTAACTAGATTAGCATGTAAAACAGGTTTGATGCTTTGTGTACAACTCTAGTTTATCTACACAGAAAAATAACAAGTCACAGTAGAGTAGTACTCACTTTATGCCCAATCGGTGAGAATTCACTATGGCAGTCATCGTCCGAAGAGCGCATGCCTTGATCCCCATGTATTGATCATCTGGTAAACCAAGTACTTCTACAAGTTCATCTAACAAGCTAGGATACAAATGACGTTCATCAACCTCGAATGTATATGCTGTAGAAATAAAGTTGCATAAAATAAATTTTCATCAGTACAAAATGAAAACAATATACAGGAATCTGAATAACACACAGCCTTAGAGCTATTAAGTTCTCAGATTCATATTAATTAGTGAAGGTAACCGATGGTGAACGCTTTAGGATAACAAGATATGTTTTCACAGAGCTTGATTTTGTATCGAACGATGCAGTGGCTTAGACGAATTCTAACCAGCGACTACCGCACACTGAAAAAGTTATAAATCGGAACGGGTTGCAAACTGTACGAGAGAATGAACAAGCAAGGAAGATACAAAATAAAGAATCACATTTTTATTTGCTCTTAGTTCGCATGTATATATTGAAACAAAGGTACAGTGACCAACTTTATTTATTTCAGTTAGAGAGGAATAAAAACGTTATCAAAACACGACTGACCTTCCAAAAGCTTAAAGATTAAATGTGGTCGCTGTAGAGAGCGTCCTTAACAATAATATACATGAGCTAAGATAACAGAAACTATAAACTAAGGAGGTGATAGCAGCCATCTGTCGCAAATATGATTAAAAAACAATGTTATCAACAAGAATAAACTTGAAACGCAGATTTGACAATTTTCAACGTTGGATAAGCAACTTAGATGTAAACTCACAGAAAGCACATACAATGATACAAAGCAGTGATGAGTAACGAAAGCAAAGATGGTGTTATGAAGAATAGGACACTAGACAGTTGGCCATTTCGGTTAGGATTATGACTCAAAAAGCTAGAAATTAATGAAACTAATGAAGAAAACGATTGAAAAATGAATCAGTTAAGGTAAGCTAAGTAATACAAGTGAGCTGACTAGAGATGAAACTGAATGCTGATAGTCTAGAATCGAAAGTTAGACTATGTGAAGGATTACAGCTTTGTAATCTGAATTCTATACCAACTCTATCATTTTTTAAATTTGTTTCACTGAATTATACCTCTTGAATAATATCTTCGAACCCTAATTTTCTTTATTACTGCTAATACTTTCACTACTTCTACTGCTGTGGGATTCGAATTGACAATTGGGTCTCTATGTTAATGTAGTAGGGCAACCTGAACTGATGTATGTGTGTACGAAGATCTACGTTGTATATGACTGACTGACTACAGCTTTGATGATGAAATCTGTTTCACTTGCGCCTATTTCAAAGAAATAAGGAAGAAATGATTTGATTAGGTTGACAATGTAAACCTCTGAGTCTGACTTGATGTAGGGTTCAACAGACATATTTCAATTTCATCAGGATTGCATTCAAGTTAAGAATTATGTAGGAAATGAGTTAGGATTTACATTGATGAACAAAAAAGCACAGACCTACACTACCAGATGACTGAAATGTACTGGACAGGTCAAATCTGTGGCTACCTTGGTTGGCAGCATAAGCTCCTAAGTTATGACCCAGTAGTTGGCTTTGACAAGCCAGCGAATCTAAATTCCTCGGGAAATGAAGCGCATAAAATAAGCTTTTGATTTAGTTGGAGACTGTTAATTAAAAACACCGAAATCACAAAAATTAGGATGAACGGATGGACATGAAGCTGATAGCAAAAAAGCAATCACGTTTACCTTAGTGTACTGTTACATTAGTAATGTATTGGAGTGATTGCTAAAACACCTGACAGGTACCGAGACGTTGTGCCAAATTCGTTTTTAACAAAGATATGAGTTTCAGTTTTAAATAGTATGCATACTACCTCAGTTGTTAAAAGTCCGGTTTCTGGCCATCAAATAGGAAAAAGGTCTTGACGAAGCAACACCCTCGAACAAAAAAACGAAATACATTGGCTGAAATTGCCGTACTTCGATATATAAATCATCATCATCATCATCAACAGCAACGTAGAAGTTTGCACGTAAGTACAGCAGTTCAAGTTGCCATACAACGTTAGCACAGAGATGCGATTGTCAATTCAACTCCCATAGTAGTAGAGATAGTAAAAGTATTAGGAGTTATCGGAGGGATTAAGGTTCGAAAATGAGATTCAAGAAGTATAATTCAGTGAGGTAAATTTAGGGAGAGAAAGGTAGAGGTGATGAGAAATTCAGGTTACAATTTTTCCAGAGTAAAATAAGCAAGCCAACTGTGTGTAGACATATTGCTATAGAAGGAAATAACTTTTTGAATCATTCAGTCAGTCAGTCAGATGCAACGTGGAACTTCGTACGTAAGTACGTCAGTTCATGTTGCCATACCACATTACCACAGAGATGTAATTGTCAATTCAAATCCAATAGTAGTAGAGGTAGAGGTAGTAAAGGTATTAGAAGACATTATTCAGGAAGTGTGATTCAGTGAGATAAGTTTAGAAAGACAAAACTAGAGGTGTTTAAGAATCCAGATTAGGATTTGAGAGAACACAAAGAATAAATGCACCAGAACAATTGCAAATAGTTTTGAGTCATGTCAGAAATATTTAAGCAATACTAACGAGCAGGTCGTAAAGCTACTCACATAGAATAGATAGTGCTTGAAGTCTGGCGCGTATGCATTTATGACGCTGCGCAGGATCGGCAAAGTAAGTTGCTAGTCGAACACGAGAGAACAAAGCAATCTGTTGAGATGCCGGTACAGGATGGACAGCCAGTAACTCTTCCATTATTTCGGATGGAGTCTGATTTCTGCGATGAAGAGCCTGGAGTACAATAGTTCCGCCAGAATTTGAGGACCCCAACTGTTCGACATGACTTGCGTTCTGAGGAACAGATGAACGGCCTGGAGACTGTTCCGGCCGGTACTCAAAATAGACATTTCCAGCCGTTTCTGGGAACTAGCAAGAATATAATGTACGAAAGAAGCTTACATGGTTTGGATCACAACAGGCTGCAAGTCCGAATCCATTTTCTGCCCCACCCCAAGTCTAATATCCTATGTTACAACGAAAGTATCCACTTACTTCAGCAATTGATACAAGACGATCAAGAATCATTTGTTTGTTTGTTGGGTCCAACCTAATGAAATAGTTGCTCCGTTTGCTGAGAGTATTATTAAGCCGAATGCAAATTACCTGAAGTTGTATGACAGGCCGAGAACAGCCAACAAGACATCAAGGTTTGAAGATCCAAACAATGCAAGTATATGGGTCCAAGAACCATACAAGTACCTATATATACTATGCTCGATCAAGTGACCAGTAAACTCCAAAATAGTAACCACGTCCTCAACAAGAGAAGAGTTCCCTGGTGCATCAAGACGAAGCATCCACTTCCCAACTTTCGTAACGGCATTTTCCAAAATAGCATCTAATCGATCCAAAACGTCGGCCCAAAGGCCAAGTTCACACTTTCCATAATTCCAGATGTTTATTTGTTTTAACTCTGAAATCAACTTATCATCTGGGCATGCTGACAGATGTTTTGCAAGTAACATGCATTCATTCTGATCATAACCGCACCTATTAACTGTCTTTTTCCTGTCAATCTTCATCTATGTGATACAAAAAACTGAGCCAAGCGATAAGCCTCACAGAATTTTCATCAGCGTAGATTAAGAGTTAGTGACAAGAAGTTAAAAACAAACAGGAAGTCACGATCTCTAGGAAAAGACCACGACTAGAAGGAAACATAAATATTCCGCTCTCCTAAGAGACGAACTTAAAGTACATCTTCCAATATCCAATATCTTTTTCACGAGTTTCTTTTTGTTTCGGCGCGGTTCAAAGTATTTGGTGATGTCCAGTGGAAGGCAGTCTAGCTACACAATATCACCAATTTTAGCCATATGACAGTTCTTCATCAATTTGTATGTCCAGTGAGTGGGCACGTTTGTCTCAGGGCAATCGGTTTCTAGATACAAGAAACTATCATATTACCAAGGTGGAGATCACTTAGTTGTAATGTGTAGAATGGTAAATATTACGGACGGTGGGGATAAATTCTAAGAAGCTTTCGTTTATATGGCTTCCATAAAAAGTAGCAGAGGATCACCTATGCCTCTTGGTAGAAATCTATGTATACTCAACAAGTAAAAGAGAATTATTAATACACTCCAGCCTCACATTCAGATTAGCAGAACACGCCGCTCTTGACTTCGGATGAGGCTGCAGTCTCACGCTCTCAACCACGAGGTTTGAACGAGACGTCCGTCCTACGTTCCGGTTGCCAGGTACATCCACTACAAGCTTTCGCGGCAAGCCTATCAATAAGCGACGTATACGGTATAGGATTCTACCCTCACATATTGGTTGCTACTCCTCTTTCCGTTTTCTTTGGCTTTTTTCTTTATCCTGAGCTTACGCCTCCGACCATCGTCCTTCTGGTACAGCTGACCTCACTCAAACTTGGCAACAGCTCGCCTGATCACCGACGCCACTGCCACTTTACTCAGTCGAAATTCTGGTTCCGACTACGTCTGCCATATGTACGATCCCCAACCTGGTTGTTATGGTCTCTTCTGGTTTCTCGACTCAACCCGGTTTGCAGCACTTTCTGGTCCGGACTCACTACGAATGCAATCTCCATGTTCTGAATACAAATCACTCTAGTGTGGTATACCAACTGGAGCAGCAAACACGGCGCGTCACTCCTCGTACCGTTCTCCGTAAACTCGAGCATCATGGATCGGTTCCTGTTCGTCAACCCTTACGACATACAATTGCTCGTTTTCGAGATCATTCCCATGAACGAGACCGCTACGTATCGAAAGCTTGAACCCTCTCTAGTGTGGGGCTCCAAACGTGTCTGATATTGAAGCCTATCTTCTCTTAGAGCCTTCGCACATGGGGTCCTTGTTAGTTTGAACTGTCCATTTATGCTGTCGTCTCTAGTTCCTTCGTATTTCGTCCAGCAGTACCATATAAGTTTTAGTATTCTATCAGTGTAATCGATTACGACTGTCGGTTGCTTGTAACTTTTGGAAGCCGTTTGTGGAACAGAATGGTTTGTTGTATATCACATTTTCTTCAGTAAGGAACCCTAGTGAGCTTCCACATGAAGTCATGCATGTGCCTTCCAGTCCACTTGCTACAAACTGTCCTTTAAATCTGAAACATCCAGTAGTTCGACGTTTCAACACTTGTTGTTAGTAAGATGTCCTAGCTCAGTTTGGCTCATAATATTGAAGTCAATGACAGTGTGATGGCTTTTCCCTAGGAGATTCGGTAGTGAGAGGCTGTCAATTAGGGATTCATCATTTGTGAATATTAATTCCAAGCATGATGCCATCTGATTGTTGTCCGTTGAGTTGCTGACTCCACTTTTTCAATTATTCGCAGTTCTCCAATGAGGTTAAAGAACTTCAGTAGATTTATCAGCTCGCTTGCACATGTGATCAGCAAACTTTACTTTAGTAAGTCTACTAAAATTATGATATGAGTGTATCTGAGACTGGGGTCCTCTCCGTTTAATCCTTGAACTTCAGTCCGGGTTCCTGTGCTTTCTATCATCTAGTTGGACAGTTTTAGGGGTGGACTGTACTGTTGGTCCGTTAGCTGATTGTCTTCCAGGACGCGGGCCCTTCAGTATATTTCCTGATAATCATAGATTCTTATGGCCCTGTTGTCGGGAGTCTACTGACCTTTAGTAGAATTTTTGCGGATCACATTTTCATTTGGAGAGGTTATGCTGGGTGAAAACAGATTGCTCAGAGTTCAACACCGTCGATGTTATGACGGTGCTAAGTTCCAGCATACCCTGTCTGGAATTGGTCCTTGTTTCATCGACACTCGAAATGGAACAGGAATAACAGGACTATTTCTTTGAACTCGTATCCTTGAGCTGAGTAAATGTTCTCACTTTTCAAATTTTAGGATCCCAGGTTTATTTAATTTCACCGGCCTGTATCAATCTTTTCTGTCGATATTCTTTGCATGTAAAGTATCGTGTCTCCTGTGAAGCATTGTCATTGTAAAATAATTATTACTACTATTTTATTGTACAAATATCCTGCTGTGCTAAAATCATTGAAATAATCTCCGGTGAGAGAGTTATTATAAACTTTGTGGGTGTGATATTAATATATATTTCGGGCATGGTTGTTTAATTGCTTATTTTGTCAGTGAAATGAGTAAAGAGGAATATATTTAGTGAGCTGGTGAGGTTATTTGAAAGGGTTGTCAGTTTGGAAGGAAGGGTGTGAATGTTGCCTGTCTGAGAACGTGGGGGAAGGGCAAGCCTATATTGTGCATGTACCGTGAAGTGATATGAGCTATATGCCTCGCCGTAGATAAAAAAAGGAGCTGCATCACAAAAGTGTCTTGAATAGGTGGCCTGTACGGTGCAACGTTTACAGTATAGTCTTGATGGTACAGGTTGTAGCTTTAAATATATTTAAAATGGTTTAGTGTTAACTTCGGAATAATCTCCTGCATGTTATGTCCTCTTCTGCATTATTCGCTATGGATTAGATAGGTACAGTAAATCGTATGCGAAGTCCAGATCCTCCAGCTGTATCCCCTGCTACTCTTGAAATGTTGACGTTATCATGATCCATTCAACTGCCAGAGTGAGAGTGTGCAAACTTGACTGACATCGATTTTCAATTGGAAGGAGTTGTGGGCTGTACTATATGCACGATCTTACAGTTAAGGCCATTATAATAATTTTGTATGATATTGCCTATCTTCTTTGGCACACTGTAGTGTCGATTAAGCCTCTATCTTGTTGTTCGATTCACTCCATCAAATTCATTTCTCTGGTCCTCCTTTTTCTGGTTTCTTCTTTTATCTGATTACCATGCTGATGTCGTTAATTATAAGTGGGTCAATATCATTTGATATGGCCGTATTGGCTGTTGCAATGTTATGTGAATTCGGCGTGTTAAGTAGTTTCACGTAACATTGTGATGGATATTTTCTCTGAGCTGTGTTTTCGTTTGTGGAGCTTTCTTCTTCTGAACAACATCATCAGCCAGAGGTCATAAATAATGAAATATTAGAATTCCCACCAGTTTATCTCGATCATGAAAGAGATCAAGTGAGGATATAATCAAAGTATAAGTGGCAGTGTGGTGGCAGGGTGATCACTTTTCTTTAGGAGAACCAGCAGTGAGAGCTTGTCAATTAGAAATTCTTCATTTGTGTGTACGAAATCCAGCATGATACCGTTTGATTGTTTCTCCGTTGAGTTGCTGATCTCACACTTTCAATTATTCCCAATTCTTCAAGAGGGCCGTCCTAAGTTCCGGTTGCCAGGTATATACACTGAACACGTTCGCGACACCATGGAGTCGCCATCAAATATACGGCTGCATCTGGACTATCTCTTCCTTCCTGTTTTCGGTTTACGATAGGAGAATGCGTTAAGGCCAGAATGTAAGTGGTTCATAGTGGTGCTCATAGTAAACTTCGACCAGACCTACTAAAATTAAAGATATGAATCCAACTTGTAAATCTTTTTGTAAATTAGAATGCTTTACAAATGTCAGGTATTTATAATTATATTAGAAAAGGAGTGAAAATGTTTCACAAGTGTTGAATTCAAATTGAGGTTTGGATTTAGGAATAACTGCTCAGGAAGTTTATACAAGCGTCTTGCCCAGCTGAAATCCAAAACAAGTGATCTGGGTAAGTAACGGTTATATTAATAATCATAAATGTAAATAAACATCACTACCCAAACAATACTACTGCTGTTACTCCCTCAAGAATAACACAGAGTGTTTCCAATTCTGGAAGGATGCTCCAAATTCCAATCCAAATTGCACACTTCCAGTCCGTGTCAGTGCTCCAACGGCCAGAGGAACAAAATCGATTTGGCTGTCGCCATAACTAAGTATCAACCTAAACAACATAATACAGTTCGGAAAGAAACATAGAAACCCACTGAAGGCACAAAAAATAGAAACTATAACAAAATACAAATATTAACATCCTAAAATGGAATTAAACGGATTGACAGAATGTAGAACTGAAAGGATCGATAAGAACATATTGAATAATCCACAGTGGATTCTGATTTCGGAAAAACAGTTCTAGAAGTTTAGGTACGCGCTGTGCCCAGTTAATCCATAAAGAAAGCAATTTATCTGGGTAAGAAACGGTTCTATTATTGATCAAAAAGGAATTACAGATAATCACCTAAACAATATTACACTGTTTTCCGTCCAAAATAACACAATATGTTTCCAATTCTGGAAGAATGCTTCCGTTACAATCCAAATTGCACCCTTCCAGTTCAGATGCACGTTTTACATACATAATACAGTTCAGAAGGAAACATAGAAACTCCAATAGAGGTACAAAAATAAAAACTATAACAAAACACAAATATTAACATCCCAAAATGGGATTAAGCAGACCATCGAAATGTAACACAGAAAGAGACAGTAAGGACATATTACAAATATGTACATGAAGGGATTTTCCTAAACCAATGTCTTCAAAATGGATTCTACACCGGTCCGCAAAATCCCTCCATACAGAGCAAAGTCCTTTAGATGCCTCAGATCATGGTTCACTCTCATGTCATAATCCACACCAGAAGAACGAGTAGGACTAACATCAATACGCCTACCCGCCCTCCAACGTGGACAAGACCTATCAAGCTCAATATGTACCTGTACCTTTCCATCAGGTTCTTGATCACCTTATCTATCGTAGCATGACCTAAAGGTGGTATAA